TCTACACGGCCGTTCATCGTTTCACCCGCATTCACGACTCATCGCCCACCCCCGGCGTCTAATTACTTAACGGATCTTTCGAGGCGCATGCGAATTCTCCGAATACTCGTCCTCTGTGTGTGTGTGTGTGTGTGTATTACTGCATGCTGCATGCCGAACCGCCACAGATGACCGCTCCGTTTCGTTTTTACGACGCCATCTCTCTCATCATCTTGCCGTCTGTCGTCCCGTTGATCGATTTCTCATAAGGTAAAACGTTACACCAATGCCCTGCGGGATATTCACCGTCGTCGTTTGCGAGATAGACCAGCTAAATGAACCTGGCTGTCGAAGCTGTTTCGCGATCAGAAACGAGTGTGGAGATTAGGGGCGTGCGAATAACCGTGATTTGCAAGCTGAACTGAACTTAGTTTTCGATTGCTCGGAGTCGAGTCGAACGTTTATATTTTTCGAGCTACTTGAAATCGAAACACTGTTCGAAAGAAATTCTAGCTACTTGTAATATTCGAACACTTGTAAGACTTCGATTTAGTTTGAAGATGAATTTTTAGTTCGAAAGTTTTCGAATTACTCGAATGTCATTCGTACAGATCAGTAATTTTCGTATATATTCGAATTGCTCGAATTGCTCGAATATATTTATCTATTTACTATCGAATACTAATCTAACTATAAGAAAAAATTTCCTATTTCAAGAAATGAAAATAAAGCAGAAACATTTAGTTAGAGTCTTCTTTTCCTTACAGTCGGATTAGTGTTTGATATTAAATAGGTACATATTCAAGTAACTGGAGCAATTCGAATATTTACGAGTAACTCGAAAGTGAACGATCCGTTCGAATACATTCGAGTAACTCAAAACAGTTGATAATTCATCTTCAAGTAAATCGAAGTCTTACGAGCGCGTTTGATTTCTCCAATTTTCGAACAGTTCGTCGATTTCGAGTAGCTCGAAGAATTCGAACGCTCGACACGGCTCGGCCGACTGATCATTATTCGAATAATTCGAGTACTCGCACACCCCTAGTGGGGATCGTTCGGTTGACTACATCTTACAACCTTTTCGAAATCTTAATTCGTGTTCTATTATAGAAGCTCTGTGACGTTTCGCGATATTAACGAATTATTACGACCTCTGGAACATTTTGGGAATTTATCGAAGAGACAAACCGGACGTCCCCCCTCACCCCTCCCACCACCCATCAGCATCCGCATATATATCATAACGGTCTCTCTATTATTAGCACGTAAGCTAGAGCCTAAGTTATCTATAAGTCATCAATGGATGGGCAGTCCCCATTTCCGCGGAACTCGTCCAATTGATTTTCGTCGTTCGTGACGTTATCCCCTCGATTTTTCGCGGGCTCCTCCCCGGGGTTCGTTAATAACCGACTCTTAACAACCGGCCCGGAATCGATTTCTACGTGACGAGAATCAACGGGCGGATAAATCCAGTCGAACGGGGAAAACCTGATCACGTTCGACCGTGGTGAACGAGGGCCTCTCTATTCGTTGGATCATAAAAAAATGAAAAATAAATCGAGAACGTGGCAATCAAGACACGGAGGATAATAACATTCGATGCCCACGAATCAATTATTTCTAACGCGTGGAGGAAAAACAATTGAAATACATTTTACCTTTTTGAATACGTAGAGCCGTCTCCGTGTTTTTTCGAAAAAAAAAAAAAACATATTTCGCGGCACCATTTTGCTGTAGTATGCTGTTGTATAGAATACATCGATCTTATAGTCATTTGCAACAGCGAAAAGGGTTAACGATGAAATCGATTGGACAGAAGGGAAGCAGAGTTGGGTGGCCTTCGTGGTGAGCGAAGCATTATTAAATGTGGTGCCCCGATATTCTAGCTTTCTGAGGAGGTAAGGATATTCTTCACCCGACAAAGCAGCACCTCCAAGCTACCACCTATCCTTCGTTTTCCATCTACGTGATTACCGTATTATGTAACGGAGTGTTTCGATGTTCCGTAGTAACACTTTTTCTTACACACAAACACACACACTCTGTCTCTCTATTGGGTTGGCCAGTGAGTTCCCGATGCACTTCGAACTTGCGTATAATCGACCGTTCGGGAAACGATATAAATTAACATCGAATTTTTGTTCCAACTCTTCGGAAGACATTAAATTAGATAACTTCGCATACTTTTTAATTGAAACTTCAGCTCATAAAACTTCTTCATTATGTTCAACGGTGTATTTAGAAAATTCAGTGACCAGCTTGGGCAAAAAGGTTTTATAGAACTTTCGTGCGTAGTTGGCTCTTTTAATGGTTTCTTAAATCCCCTTCTGGATTCCTATACCTTTTGCATAATTACCTTCGTTAACGGAAAACTTTCTCAAATTAATCCTCGACGTTCCGTCGTCTTCGTAAGTCGGGAGAAATTCCAGGAATACGACCGAGGAACGATATCCATGATTATTCCAAGTTCGAAGTCGTGAACGGGAATTCAGCAGCCATCCCGAACATCTGTCTCTATATCTTCTTCCTCTTTCTCTGTCTCTCTGTCCCTTTCTCTGGTGTGAGTCGTTGATCTGACTTGTTCACGCAATCATTCACGTACCACGCGCGAAAGCGGCGAGATTTGCTGGCCTAGACCGCCTCCTCTTCTCTTGTTCGCGATCGTCATTCTTCGTGGATGACAGAATCGCGGACCCTAGGAGAGGACGAACTATTCGAGGCATTTCCTGCAAGCAATCGCGTGTGCGTGCGTGTGTGCAGCCTGAAAAACAGCTAGTTTAAAGGATACAGTTTTTCACCCGATTCTGAAATTTTGTCGAATCGATAATAAAACAGTGTTCATATGATTTCGTATCGTTCACCGAGAATCCAACTTTCACGCTTATGCTTAGTTCTAGTGGTGGAGAAATATTGATAGTTTTCAATTGTTGGGCCACTAGTCATCCATAGTTATCGATAGTAAAATCCCCGTGTAGGTAAAGATGACTACAAAATGTTTCCTCAATGAAAAATGACTAAGAGTAATATGAATTGCTTGCAATAATTGAGCATATGTTAGGTATTACCTCTGCTATCGATAGTTTTCGATAGTGGGGACCGTCGATAGTCCTCCAGCACTACCTTATTTCCTTTGTTTGTGCGTGTAAATTCTGTTTTCGGTTATTACCGAGTCGGCAAAATTACCGAATCGGTGTAAAAACAAATCGTATTTTCTGAACTGGCTGTACAACGATTGATCGTAGATAGTCACCGTAGTCACTTATACTATCTAATGTTTTCCTGTGGTTCCTCGCGGCGCCGTCGGAACGGTACAAAACCACCGAGGAACCCGAGACGACGATCGCTCGGCTCTCCATAGAGATCTGTTTTTCCACATTACATACGATCAGCACGACGTAGAAACGCTGGAGAGTCGCGGGATCGCGACGATCGATCGAGGCCCTCTTTAATCGTGCACGCCTGATCGATCCACACCGGTTCCCGGACTCGCTTTTTATTGGGCAACGGCGTGAGATGCGCGAGTGCACGTCGCACCTCTGGCCGCCGGGACACACACACGGCCCTCTGGTCGAAGTAATCCCGTCTGAATGTTTATTCACCAACGTTGGTATTCATCAAAGGTTCTTTATTCACCAACGTCTAGGTGATGAACTCGTGTCAAATAGGTTTCTCACTAGATACTTTTATTCATAATTTGTATCGATAATAAAAGTATCGATATTTACGTAATATCACATCACAAGTATCGATACCTACTTATAGGGATAAACCGATACCGCCAAGGTATCGATACGTTCATTCACAAGGTTCCATTACTTCGACCATTGTCAAAGAGGGCCGCGAAATCTCTCTTCCACGCTGCGTAACTCTGCTAGTTGGTTAGCTAGTGAAACGTGTTTTAGCTGTGTGTAACTCTGCTTAAGACCCAGCCGCGAGATCTCCGGGGCCCCGGAGATCCCGCGACAGGGATCCTCACGCGGCCTGCCGACACCAGAGTAGATCAGACGAGCGTAGTAGGTACGTACACACGAAAATAAAAAGAGAGAGACACCACAATACATAATACGTCCTAATCTCTGTTACCACCGTTCCCAAGGATCCCTTGTATCTTCGCCCTATCCCCAGACCCCCAACGACACTCGTTCGACACGTATCAATGTATCTCTCGTACACGCAAAGAAAACACTGTTTGTAATTTATGTAATCGTTGGTCTCTATATTGCTGCATGCTCAGTATCAGTCCCCCGGCCAAGTACGACGACGACTGTGTTCGGCTGGAAGAAATATAAGAGATATCGAGACTTCACAGCCAAGTTGTACGTTAAACGTTACCATTTTGAAACAGAACGACGCGAGATACGTAATACAATAAATCCTCGACGAGTGTTCGAAGGCCCCTGGCCACTGAACATTAAATATTTCGTAAACTAGTGGCCATATGCGGCTGAAAGAAATATCATTGACTTCAGAATTCCAAACTCTATCACTGTGCTAAAGCTCATTAAAAAGTCGGCGTTACACGTGAGGACCTCTTCATGTCAATGCCGAGGAGCCTTCGACCACTCATCAAGAATTTACTGTAGTCTGTCCACTGCTAGAGAAGTGGTCTCGCAATGTTCCAACCGATATTTATGTCCTCTTCTATCGTCGACGTGTAATCGACCTCGAAGACATTTGACGCACGATCCGTTCGTCACAGAAGCTCGAGGAAAAGTTTTTTTCATGCCCATTTGGAGGAGTGGCAAAAAGTTGCCGGATCATGAACGGAAACGTGTGACCCGTTTCACGACCGATTACGTACCCTAACCCAGAATCTTCCAATAATTTAGGAGGGGTAAAATCTGCCCCATTCTCACACCTGACCGAGGTCATCGTCGTTGTACTCGGTCTCGGACGTTGAGAGACGACAGGCCCGTTGCGCCTTTCGTCGCTCGTTGTTTTATCGTCCGTGTTGTCGAGGTTTATTTATCCGAGCGTACGCGGACTGATCCTCTCCTGGACGACGAATCTTTTCGCAGCTGGACGAGCTACGGACGGAGGTGCAGCGCAGGGACCAGGAGCTGCTCGGCATGTCGGCGAAGATGAAGACCCTCGAGGATCAGCACCAGGACTATCAGCGGCACATCACCGTGCTCAAGGAGTCGCTCTGCGCCAAGGAGGAACACTACAATATGCTACAGGCTGACGTGAGTCAAACTTTTTCGACTCACCGCCCCCTTCTCAAAGTTTTTTTTTTTGTTCAGCGCCCCCTTCAAGCAAAACTATCCTATATTATGAAAATTTCCAAATATAATTGTGCACATAACCATCGAAGAAAAACGAAATTGACCTTCATGTGACCTCTACGCGTCCGCCTACCGAAAAACTATTTAGCATGCAAATTTACCCTGCCCCATTTTTATTTGGCATCACCAGTAACAGCCAAGATATTCAAGTGGCCTGTTTTAGAATCCACACCAAATTTCGTTATCTACCGATAACAATAACAAGCTTCCCAATCGACCCTCGCCCCGCCGAATCGATGCTGGTACAGTAACGACCCCATCAAAGTTTCGAATAGGAACTTCCTCATAAAGAGTTTTTATTTCATCCCCACCACTGGAGGGAGACAGGGGCAATAAATTTAGTATTTGACAGGTTCCATCCCCCCCCCCCCGTGGTGGGGATAAAGTAGAAACTCTCACGAGGAACTTCCTATCCAAAACTCTCATGGAGCCTTTACTATAAGCCCAATTCGTCAGGGGTTATTGGACAAGTGTGAAGTAAAGCCACTCCGTAGGAAACTAGGTCGTTCGAAGCCTTCTCCCTCTCTCCCTCTTCTGGCTCTCCTATCCTCTCCTCGTTCCGCATACTGTCCGTGGCGTAGCGGGTCGCGTGCGCGCGTGGTGCCCTGCTCCCATGGCGTACAATGCGGACCATCGGGGGCCGATCAAAGTTGTTCCGACGCGATCATGAGATATGACGTTGGTGTGCGTCCGTGTTTCTCCAGGTGGAGGAAATGCGGCAAAGGCTCGAGGAGAAGAACCGGATGATCGAGAAGAAGACGCAGGCGGCGATGCAGGCGCAACAGGAACGGAATCGTATGAACACCGAGCTGACCGAGCTCAAGGATCATATGGACATTAAGGTCAGGAAGATCAACGTTCTTCAACGCAAGGTGAGTCTGAACCCCCACACCGTTGAACGGTTTCTTTCTCGCTTTTTTTTTTTCGTGACACATACACGCGCAATAAGAGGATGGTCCGAGGTTGAGGTGTTAACACGTTCACTGCCACAGTGAAAAAGGCCGTACGTAACCAGACACACTTTATTTCGTTTTTTTAAGTCATAAATCTTTGAACATATATGCGTTTGATTAATAGAGATTGCTTGTCTTGTTTTAAATTATACTGTGATATTAATCTTATGTCAAAATTTTGTAGAGGTATACAAATAATCCAGCATGTTTTCAATGTTTCAACTACGAGTTATCTCGTAGCTGGCAGTCAACGTGTTAACCCTTTGCAGAACCCTTTCTGTGGAATTAAACATTTCTGAGAATCTGCACTGGGTTGAAACGTCAACTGGTCCAGACTATCCTCTTGCTGTTTTGCATTCGTTAAAAGATAAATGGGAATGACTCTCGTTACGAGAGCATTCACGTGTTCTCCTGAAGGAATAATTGGTTGGACCTGTCCTCGTTATAAATGGGCAACCGATGTGTATACGAAACTTTCGATTAATTACAAAGGTCTGACCCAATTACCACGTTAAATCTGCGTCGACGCGCGTTCATTATCACCCACCCCTCTTTAAACGACCGGTATATCCTTCATCTCCTCGATTAGTGATCATCGCAGTTACGTTCGCCATTTTCTTTTTCGTAGGCCCCCTCCGAAATAGGTGTCCATTTATCTGTCTCAAAGCACGTAGTTTCGCAATATATACACGTACACTGTGTGGCGTAACTGTAAAACCACCCTAAAATTTTTAATCCTTCTTGTATTGTGGTTGAAACAAAGAAGAAACACAATTTGTTCTAGGGAACATAATCTAACTTTATAGAGAAATATTATTCCTGAACACGATTTCAGATATGGCATACTTGGTTCGTTTTTATTTTAACCACAATATATAGGAATTGAAAATTTTAAGGTGGTTTTATAGTTACGCCGTGCAATGTATATTTTAATGCAGCAATCAAATCGAGTAGATATGTACCTACCGCCTAAATAGTTACCCAATAGAAACGTAAAAATGTTTTAGTGATACCCCCTTGAACGTCGACTCGTTTCTTTCTCATCTGTACGAGGAGAAAGAAAGGAAAACGAACGGAAAAATACCGCGATGAAATGAAACTCCACTCGATTCACGCTCGAAGTAAAATTTAATTGGTCTGAGCAATGTCATCGGCGGGAAGAAAGCGTAATTGTCACACCAGGTCTCCTTGGTGTCCGTTAATTAATTCGACTAGGTCGGAAGTAGTTTTCTCCGACGATTAATTAGCCATCCCCCGTCGTATCAAAAGGATGGAAGCACGCACTTAGCGTAGGATATTCCCACACAATGCGACTGATGAAGAGCGCAATAGTGCGAATCTTGCCGTTGATTGGTATGAGTGTATGATATGTGTGCGCGCGCTCTTCTACGTAACACTTTTGCGATTTATTTTATTTTTTAGCGTATTCTGTAGTCGATATAAGGTACTCCTCCGATCAGTTTAAGTTCCCGCCCAGATCCTTTCATTTCCGCCCGTACTTTATGTATGTATCGTTTATCAATAAAGCCAGTGAACATTTCGTTGCGTTATTTTAATTATTTTCTTTGCTGTGTATTCTTTCCGCGATAATGCACATTTTATATTTGTGTTTCCGTTCGCCGGTAATCGATGTCGTGGATGGATAAGATTCAAGCGAGAATAAGTATAAAAATTGTTCTCCCTTGCAGATATCTGTGTCGAACCTTCATCGATTATCGGTAATACACCGAACGAAACAAGCACTGCTTCGACGTTATTTTATTAACGCTGCACCACGGGAACGTATACATTTTCTTTTTTTTCCTTACACTTATGTTCTTTTCTGCAGTCGTGACAATATGTTGGTTTATTAGTCGCTGTTATCGTGAGAATATAGTTGTGTAAATGTTGCGAATGATAGCCGGGGAGAAGATTATAATCGACAATGAGATGGCAGGTAAGTAAGAGCCTCAGATTCATTATGTTAACAAATCCTCCGCAAGCTAAACCCCCGTGAATATCTAATACCCACTAATCACGATGAATGCCGATACACGTGTATCGCCAACATAAAATTTAATCACAAGTAATTATCCTCAATCTTATCAAGCATTTTTCCACATTCTTTCTCCACTCCTAGAATATTTTTTCTCACATGTTTTTTGTCCAATTCTAGAATATATTTGACTTATCCCCGCTTGTTCTCCCACGTTCTCGATACTCCCACACCTGAATAGAAGCAAACCCCACCGAAAACAGGACACGTTCACGACGCAGTGATTGTGAACTTCAGATCGAGAATCTGGAGGATCTGCTGAAGGAGAAGGACAACCAGGTCGACATGGTCAGGGCACGTCTTACGGCGATGCAGACGCACCAATGCAGCAGCGAGGGCGCGCTTAGCAGCCTCGAGGAAGCGATAGGCGACAAGGAGAAGCAAATGGCGCAATTACGGGAGCAGAGGGACCGGGCGGAACAAGAGAAGCAAGAGGAAAGGGAATTGCATGAACGGGAGATCGCCGAGTACAAAATGAAAATTCACGCTCTCGAATCGGAGGTGAGTTCGATTTTCTTCCATCTGGCTGTAATACGAACAAAATTATTCAATTGAACTTTCAGTGACGCAAAAAAAAAAAATGACGAAGTTGTTACTCCGTCAATCTAGCCATGTGCTGCTTTTATCGGATCCGAATTGTACAATAAATCATCGATGAGTGTTCGAAAGCTACATGGCACTGATACCTTCGTATGCTGGACCCTGTCCACAGGTCGAGAAACTGGGCGCCCGTTTGGAGAGAGCGCAGGCAGAAAAGGACAGGCTCGAGGCGAAGCTGGAGAGTTCCCAGTCGGAGCTGGGCAAGAGCAAAGCCGAACTTGACAAAGCCGCGTCCGAGGTCGGTCGCAGCGGCGCCGACTGGGAGGCTGCGAAGCAACGGATCACCAGACTGGAACTGGAGAACGAGAGGCTGAAGCATGATGTCGACAGATCGCAAACCACCTACGGTAGAAGCACCCTGAACTCTACCCAGGAAATGGACAGGATCCACGAACGTGCCGAGAAAACAGCGGCGGAGCTCAGGCGGGCACAGGCTGAACTCAGGGTGACGTTGGCCGACAACGAAAGGGCCAGGGCGGAAGCTGCCGCTCTTCAAGAAAAGGTAACGATTAATATTCTTATATAATTTTGAAAAATTGATTACAGTGATTGATCGGTTAACGAACATAATCCATTGAAAGAAAATGTTCGTTATCCGATCGTCGATTTACCATAAATTTTTATGGGAATTTGATTAATTCGTTCGGGAAATCCAAAAAATAAAAGCACATCTCGCTTAGTTTCTTGGTGTTCTTCATTCAGTAGTTCTCGGAGTTCTTCTGTCGTCAGATCGTTTTCTCAGTATCATACAAATACAATTCTACAAATGTACTGCAAGGTGTTCGTTATCCGAACATTCAAATTTTCCGTGAAAGTGTTCGTTGTCCGAACTGTTCGTTAACCGAGTACCTACTGTATATAATTTAAAGAAAAGAAAAACTTGATTCGGGATCAGGCAAAGATTTTACCCGAAATAAGTGTCCCCTCTAACGAGCCTCCATTTCGATGGGACGAAAGATCACCGCAGAACGACCGCTGCGAGAGCAACCACGACAGGAAGTAGGTAGCTCGAGCTAGTTCTTCCCACACCAGCTCTGTTCTATAATCGGCACCCTACCGTTCCGCGCCGATTAATTGACCATCGAATCGACTAGGCAGCTTCGGTTCCGCTCCCAAGAACCGAGAACAATCGGCTTTTAATCGCGATCGATACGCAGTTGAATCTCGATCCGGCCAAATCCCCCCTTATGGGCAATGGGATCCAATTTCCAATCACGCCTACGTTCCATTCCGGCCTTTGTCGATGGCGCGAAACGAACCGGTAATGAAACTGTCGGCTAAGTGTCCGGAAAATTGCACGCTGGGCATTCTTACTTGGGTAGGAAGGGATAGCCCGTTTAAGAATGTTTCTACTATTTCTGTCGCGATTAGTACCCAGTGATGAACTCCCTTCGTACTTATCCGTTGAATCTTTTATGAATGGACACCCTGAATGGTATTTAACGAACACACGCGATGACAGAATTGCTCGGAATAATGTCCCCTGTATTAGTACGCGCCCAAGTGCCTGGGAATACGATCATGCGGTTGTTTGTAACTAAGCAGAGGAGAAATAGGGTTTCATTAGGGTACGACGTGGTAAACGGAGAACACATAAAGCAGACCGTATTAATAATGGATCGGTGGTGGGACACGCGTGTGTAGTTTCTCTAACGGGTTGTGGCTATTAAGGCAACGAGGAATCTCCGTGGATTAATTTTGCAGCCGCGCGTGAATTACGATGCAAAGGGAATTAGTAGATTCCGTGCCTAGTTCTGACCGATCTGCTATGTTGATCAAGAGCTGAATTATTCAACAAAGGGATCGGGACACTCGAAACGTCTCGATAAACTTTTTGATTTATTTATTTATAAACAGGTTAGCCCCTTTTTTCCCATAATTTTTTTATGTAAGTATAATGTCAATAAATCAATAATCCTGATCTGCTGCGGAGATCTTTCTGTACATTTGATTTAAAAGATAATGTTGAGTCACCAAAGAAATATATGATGTTTCAATTTCCCGAAGCATTAGACGTGTTACTATGTCTTTGTCGTTTACACTGTACTTTTCCGAATTACCAGTCTTTATCGTATTTTTTTTTCTTTTTTCGTAATTTACTCGAAAGGTGGAAAAGAGTCAGGGTGAAGTGTACAGGCTGAAAGCGAGATTGGAAAATGCTCAAGGCGAACAGGAGAGTCTTCGGGACGAGTACGATCGAGCACAGGCGTCAGTGGCCCGACTTCACTCGGAACGGGACAAGTAGAATATACTGGACAAGACGCAGAGCGAGGTGGACAAGATTCAGGAGAAACTCGACAAGACGCAGACGGAGATTCGCAGGGTGAGTAGATCGTTTATCCAGGGCTTCATTAGCCACTTGTGACACTGGAAACGAAAATAAAAAAACTCTATTTGTCGGCGACAGATGCAAATGGAAAGGGAGAAACAGAACTACGACTTTGAGAATCTGCAAAGCCAACTGGACAAAGCCCTGGGTCAGTCGACGAGAATACAAAAGGAACGGGAAACGATTCAATTGGAAGTGGATCGTTTGCAGGATAAATACGAGAAGGCTCAGGTAACTGAAACGTCTCGAGAGAGAGAGATAGAGTCACCTATCCCCTAACACGATTAAGAGTTCACACCATTCTCGAATCGCTCTCGATTACATCCCCCTCCTTCCTTTCCCATGACGAGAACGAAAGCCGAGTGTAATCGTCACGCTCTCTTCCCATTTCCATGCAGCTCATAATGCAGCGGCTGCAGAAGGAGCGGGACGGGTTCCAGGAGGAAATGCAGAAGTTGCACGAGAGGCTAGAGTTCCAGCAGAATCAGGTGGCGAAAATGCAACGGGAGAAGGAGAACCTGTTGTCGGAGCTCGAGCTGGTGAAGGAGAGATGGGAGAAGGTGCATAATTCTCATCAGAAGCTGACGGTGAGTCGACCGGTTGAGTTCGCGTGTTATTCCTTAAAGATTCCGATCGTCATTCTGAATTATTTTTCGCGTTTCTATACAGCTCGAACGAGACGACGCCGTGACCGAGATCGAGATCTTGAAAGAGAAATTGGACAAGGCGCAGTATGCTATGAATAAGGCACACGAGGACCGGGAGAACGCGAACAAGGAGTTCGAGAAGATGCGCGAGAAGTACGACAGGTAAATGAGCATAGTTTCTCAAGACGTGTAGAGAGCCATATCGTTTCAGCTTCTGTCTCTGGGATAAGAGAACTTTGCGGGTCTGTCGCGGTTAAATACTCGAACATTTCATAGAAACCCGTGGTTAGTTGTGTTATCATAATTGCTTCTAGTTAGAGATTATAACTTTGTGACATTTGAAACAGAGCCCAGAGCGAGGTGTACCGACTGCAGAACCGCATCGAGGTGATGGAAGCGGACAAAGACCGGCTCGAGCTCGAAGCGGACAAGCAACAAATGCTGGCGTCGAAGAGTCGCGAAGAGGCGCGCAAGGCCCAAGAGGAACTGGCTCGCGTGCAGGAACTATACGATCGTGCCGCGCTTCAGCTGGGCCGTACCAAGGAACACGAGGAGAAGTCGAAGGAGGATCTGGACAGGTTGACGGTGGATCTGGAAATGGTACGGGAACGTTACGAGAAGTCGCAGATCGAGCTACGCCGGCTGCAGAATGAACGGGAGAAATTAGTCGCGGACAACGAAAGGATTAGCTTCGAGCTGGAGCGCGCTCATTCGCAGCTGAACAAGGCGCAAGCGGCAACAGAGAAGACGCAGGAAGAGTTAGCGCGTATGCAGCTGGAGATCGAGAAAATGTACGAGAAACACGACCGGCAGCAGGCCGAAGTGAGGAAAGCGCAAAGCGAAACGGAACGGTTGCGGGTCGAAGCGGAGAGCGCAAGGGAGGAATCCGAGAGGTACGCGGCCAGGTTCGGCAAGTACCAGGAGAGCCAAGAACGGCAGAAGGAGGAACACGAGTGGGCGAAGCTGGAGGTGGAGCGGCTACGGGATCGTCTGGAGAAGGCGCTGGCGGAGCTCGAACGCGCGAGGAAGGCCGAGCAGGACGCCTCGAGGTTGCGCGCCGATCTGGAACGTGCGGAGGGGGTGCGAGGTAAATACCAGTACGAGCAAGAGAAATGGCAAAGCGAGGGTAGTAGGCTACAGCAGGAGGTGGATAAGCTGCGGGAACGTCTCGAGGGACGTGAATCGGAGCTGAAGAGGACGCAGACCAGCCACTCGGAGCTCGAGGCGAAGCTGCACGAGACGCAGCTTCAGCTCGAGCGGGCGAGAGAGGAGGCGACCAAGGCGAACGCCGCACAGGAGCGGAATCGGGGCGAGATCGAACGGGCTAAGATCGAGACCGAGAAGATACGCGATCGTCACGACAAGGTGAAGGCGAGAGCGGACGCCCTCGAGGCGGACAACGAGAAACTACGCGTCGAGATGCTACGGCTCGAGAGGCTGATGCAGACCGAGGGTAAGACCAGATCGGAGAGCGCGAGCATCGAGGTCGAACGGCTGCGCGCCAGCCTCGACAAGGCGATCACCGCTCGCGATCAGGTGGAGCTCGAAGCCGGTCGGCTGGCCAAGGAGCTCGAGAAGACGCATATGCAGACGGCCAAGTATCAGGAAGCAGCCGAGGCGAACAAGAAGGAGATGGAACGTCTCACCACGGAGATACAGCTGCTCGGCGACGAACGCGAGGCGCTCAGGCAGGATCTAAGAAGGGTGCAACAGCAGCAGCAACAGCAACAACAACAACAGCAGATGGCGGGTAACGAGGAGATGGCGCGTTTACAGCACGAGCTACAGATCGTGATGCTGGAACGGGACAAGAACGCCGCGATCCTCGAGAACAAGGAGAAACACTGGGAGAAGATCGAGAAGGTGAAGGAGAAGCTCGAGGCGGAAGCGAAGCAGCTCCAGGTGGAACGAGATCAGCTGGTGATACAGCTGGAGAAATCGCAGGAGATGCTGGTGAACTTCCAGCAGGAGCTGAACGCGAACGAGGCGGAACTGGAGCGTCAACGGGAGGAGGTGCGCCGGTTACAGCAGCTACAGCAACAAAGGGCCCACGCCCAGACGCCGGACAGAGCCGCGAAGGAGGCCCTCGAAGCGCAGATGCGAGAGGTTCATCGGTTGACGCAACAGGTCCAGAACCTGACGCAGGCCCAGAACAAGGAACGACAGAGGGCCGAGCAGGCCGAGAAACGGGTGCAGGAGCTGAACAAGCAGATGAACGGTAGGGACTCGTCGGTCGAGGGGCAGCTCGAACAGTGGCGGAAGATCTGCGACACGGAGAAGCAACGCGCGGACGCTGCCGAGAGGCAGGTTGTCGAGCTACAGAAGTGCATCCAGGCGACCGAGAGGAACCTTCACGGCCAGCAACAGCAGATCCAGCTGATGCAGGTCACCATTCAGCAGCTACAACAACAACAACAGCAGCAGCAGCCACAGCAGAACGGCCAGGAGGCCGCCAGACTGCGAAAGGAGCTTGAACGCGCGCGAGAGGAGACCTCTAAGCAGGCGATCGAGCGCGAGCGGTTCCAGGCGCAGATCGAAATGCTGTGCCAGGAACTCGAGAAATCTCAGGTTAGCAGCAACGACCTGCACTCGCTCGCGCTCACCTACACTACCACCATAGCCTACACCCGCACTCTGTCTGCACTCTGTGTCGTCTGTGCCAACCGTGGCTGAGATCGTTTGTCGCAACCGACATATCGCGCGCCTCTCAAGGTCACTCTATGTCTTCTCTCATTTCAACCGCAGCCTCTGCCTTCGTCGTGGACGAAGCAGAATTCTCGCCCACAGCTCATACACGCCGAAAAAAAAAATAATTGTATATATACACGTGTGTATATATATATATATATATAAGATAGAATCGATCGAACGATAATCATGTGTATATATATATTGTATATGTATACAGATCAACCGGAAACGATGCACCCGCACATCTTTCTCATCTTTGTGTTGCGTATACATGCATAATACTCCTCGGGGCGTCCGTTACACTTCACAGCGAAGCCAATCATCGCCTTCACGATATTCATATGACCTCCCTTTAACCCCTGTTGAAACCGATCCCGATCCCCCGAAAAACCATTGCGACTCAAGCACAACCATATTCGCGGTCATTGCTCGTTTTTCGTTATCCGTTTGTTTAGTTTCTCGACTGTGTTACGCCGTTCTTTTACCTTAGTTATGTTTATTGTTGTTATGACCATTTGCCATGCGCCGAGGGGACGAACGATAGCGAACGGGAGGGAAGATCTATCGTTCGAAAGAGAACAGATCCCACGCAACCGATCGTCTCCCACCTCGCTGCGAACATTTTTAACACGTTACTGTTATTGCTGGCAATTCTGTTGCGCGCTCGAAATCGCGAGACGTGAATCGGGCAACATTTATCCACCCGTGTATTATTTCTGTTTCCCTGGTTTCTCTTTGACGAGCATGCATTGTATCGACGCCGGAGATAGAAAATGTTTGTGTTCCGTTTGCATGTGGCCACCTCGCTCGCCACCGATTGCATCTTGTTACACACGCGAACGAAACGACCGTTTATCATTTTTTTATCTCGACGCATATACCTATACATGTATTATTTTTGTACATATCTACTAGACCACGAGAGGAAGACGAAGCAATTCTTCTCATCTGTTCGTGTGACTTGTTTTCAATTATTGCGTTATACTTTATACAATCGTGCATCTCTCAATGCACACACGACCGATGATCACGGCCATGCGAGCATTCTCATTGATCGTTCGAATTTTCCCGCGAACCCCGACAGCATTAGCGTGAATTCTTGCGAGGAATGGTCGCGCGGCTTTAAGTGAGGCGGCTTCGATCCGACTTCGTAGTAGCGTGTATACACACGGCTCGACGCAATATACGTGACTTATTGACGATCGTTTCCACACGCAGGTGGACCTGCACGAGGCGAACAAGAAACTCCAAACTGGCGGCGGGAGACCTGGTCCCGATACTACACAAGAGAGACACCATCTAGAGGAGCAGAAACGCCAGGTGGAGGAACAGAGAAGACATATGGAAGAACGAGCGAAGTCCGTAGATCAGAAAGCTAGGACGATAGAGGAGAAGGAGAGGATGCTCCAAAGTCTCGACCAAGACCTGAAGAAACGAAAAGCGAAAATGGACCAGCTGGAGCAGCAGTTACAGAGGGTGAGAGAAACTTACGAACGACGAAGGATACACAGATATGCAGGATCTCCGAAAAAAAATGGGACAATGCGCATTTTTTTTTTTTTTGTTCTCTTTCTTATAGAGCGGCGGATCGCCGGACAAGAGATTGACGGAAATGCAGAAGGCACTCGAGACCGCGGAGAAAGACTTGGAGAAAGCGAAGGAGGAGTCGACCAGAAGCTCCGCCGAGACCGAGAGGCTACTGCAGTTGATGCAGATGACACAGGAAGAACAGAACACGAAGGAGAGACAGATCAGAGAACTTCAAGAGTAAGTATCTCCTTTAATGTTTATGTCGAATATACTCGTCATCAAGCAAAAAAAAATTTTATTCGCTATTTTAAGTAAGATTTCGATGAAACAAAATATATATTCGTAATTTAGCAATGGATTAAACATATTACATTTTTCGTTACAGTGCACTAAAAGCCGCACAAGCCAAGTTGAAACAAGCCGCAACTGCACAGCAACAAGAGGTCAGTATGCAATGTATAATTCCCGTTGGTTTTCTAACATTCTAAAAATCGATTTCTGATAAAGCAAATAAGAAGCTAATATATCCTGAACGTTATACTTATACGAGATCGTGACTAACCACTTGTCTTCTTCGATTTCCACGCTGCCCCCTGGACACGACTCGCACACACTTACGTATTTCGCTTGCTCGTTCGTCGTGTTTGCTTCCTGTCTGTTTGTTTGTTCGTTTGCCTGTTAACCATTCCTGAATTCGTGCACGAACAACGTGAAAACAAATAACCGATTTTTTCCATCGAAACTGTGCGCCTCCGAATTGCGTCGACACGCGTGGACAAAAGCAGGCGGGTCCCGCCGGATTCCTAAAAAGCTTGTTCTAAGGTCGATTTTCGTTGGGGACGCCTTCTCCGTTCTTTTTAGTACAATTTGCATATTAAGCGAACTTTACAAGTACACGAACATTATTATACGAAACTAATTAAGACGAAAACGGATCGTACTGTATCGCCCGATGGACAACACAGACGTCAAGAATTATATAATTATTTTACGTAACGCCTGCGACCATTGTTAACGTATTTAATAATTATAGGGGGAAGATAATGACGATAACAATAATTATTAATATACATATATATATATATATATATGTATATAAATATATATATATACAGATATACATATATAAATATAAATATAAATGTAAAGGTTAACGAGACGAAGACAACGGCAACAATAATGTTAATTATTATTACCGATACGATTAACATATAAATATAATATATATATACATATAACAGAGAAAAGGAGACAGACGCATGTTGGTGTACATGTGTGTGTGTATATACACGTACGCTGCAGAGGATATACGTATGTAGATATATAAATATAAATGTATACATAAATTTAACGTACGAAATGGTGAGAGGCCGAGGGCAGAGAACGGTCAAGGAGGGAGAAAGTATAACTCCAAAAAGATATCATTAGAGGCTTCTCGACTCACCGTACACGCCCCATATAGACGATGGATTCGAACGAATTTAAAAAGATACGAAAAGAGAAAAAAATGATAGACACGGGGAAAGCTATGAGGACAGCAACCGGAAGCAATAGAAACCAAAACCTTCTGGTTCGTGGAACGTTCGGCAGCCACATTCGGAGACGCACCCTTACGCGTCGTTCAGCACGAAATCAATCCGATTGCACACCCTGTGTTTCCCCTTTTCGTCCAACTTCGTTTTTGTTTTCTGTTTCACCACTTTTTGTTTTCTTTACGTTGGCACCCCGTTCGTTGCCCTCCGCGCACCACGCACCACGCCCGTCACGACGTCCACGCGCACCTGATGCACGCACACAGAACTCGGAGAACGTTAAACGGGTCGAGGACGACACCAGGAAGAGGGAACTGGAGGCGAAGGACAAGGAGATATCGGAGCTGGTGTCGAAGGCGTCGAGCCTGGAGGAGTTGTTGAAAGAGCACGCCTGCACCAAGAAGATCAAGGACGCGCGAAACGGTAACCTGGACGATCACGAGAATTGGCGAACCGAACTGGAGCTGAAGAAACGACGAATAGCAGAGCTGGAGAACGAACTGGTCGCCTGTAAAACCGTCAAGAACACCAGTAACGCGTGCACGCAAAGTCTGAAGATGATGGACGAGCTGAAGGTGGATAAAGATTCGTGGGGGAAGGAACTGGAAGCGAAGAACAGACGGATATCGCAATTAGAAGACGAGCTTGAGTCATTGAAGCGCCTGACGAAAGTGGACGGTCAACCGTCCAGGTCCAAGAGATCCCAAGAGAACAACGCTAGAACGAAAGACCATGGCGACTCTTGGAAACAGGAGCTAGAGGCGAAGAATCGACGAATCGTCGAGCTGGAGCAGGAAATGGAGTCCCTGGAGAATTTTCTCCGGGACCACGCGGACACCGAGAGCGTACGGGACTTGGAGGCGCTGATCGAAAGGAAGACCAGAAGGATCGAGGAGCTGGAGGACACTGTGGCCGAGTTCGAGGACTTTCTGAAGCAGAATCCCGACGTGAAGGAGCTGCACGAGCTTCGTTGTCGAATCACCGCCGGCGACCGAAGGATCCAAGAGCTGGAGAGATGGATACAGAAGAACGGCGAGAACCGAGAGTCGAGGATCGATCAGGAGAGGATTATCGAGCTGGAGGAAATGGTCACGCAACTGGAGGAATATGTGAGGAAGCATAATGTCGATGGGCTGCAGATGAAGCTACAGGATCGTGAATGCAGGATCGAACAGCTGCAGAGCCGGGTTGGGTCTTTGGAGAAGGAACTGTTGAAAGCTGAGGAAAGTTATCGAGGTAAGGGAGAAGACTTTTTTCTAATATTTATATATATATATATAATATTACAATTTTTTATATTTTATATTTTAAAAATTTTTTATTCTTTAAATTTAGATTATTAATTTTTTTTAATATTTACCTAACCCAGACCTGCATAATTGAATAAATTCACAGAAAAGGATGCACAGAAAAATCATCGGAACGTCCAGGACAGAGAGACGACAATGACACCGGATGATTTACCGTACGATCACACGATCATCGAGAGGAGCCCAGAACTACGCGAAAAAGATCAAACGATGAAGAAGATGGAACACGCGATTTCGGAGAAGGATAATAAGATTCAGGCGTACGAGCAGGAAATCGTCGAGTGTAAAGATGAAATAATGAACCTTCGAAAGGAGATTTGTAGCTTGAAGAAAGAGCTTAGTGAGTACGACGACATTGGTGTACTGAAGGAAGAGATCAGAGTTAGAGACGAGAGGGTTCAACAGCTCGAAGACGAGGTGGATTCCCTGGAAAGGGCGTTCAGTGAGAGGATCGATCTCGAACAGATCGAGGAACTCGTGAACGTTATAAAAGAAAAAGAGGACAGGGAACGTCAAATGTCGAGAGGTCTGGCGGAGAAAAGGAACAAGATAGCGTCGTTATTGTCAGTGACAGAGAAAGAAAATTGAAGAACGAGGAGAAGATGAAAACGGAAGCCCTTCAAAGAGTACGCGAAACTCTGTTTATTTCTTCTTCCATTTCATGGATCAAATTTCTTCCGAGCGATTTTCAATTTTTCTAATTTTTTTTAGGTAGCCAAATTGGAACAGAGAATCGCATCGATGCAAACCGCTTCAGCGTTGAAATGCATCACTTGTCAGCCCCTTCTCTCGAAGCTGCACAAGTACGAGACGAAGCTTGAAAAGCTCACCGAAGAAAGAACCGTACAGCTGGAGGATCTACGGCAAATGAAGTGAGTTTTAACTTGTAATAAATGTTGGCTTGTCGAGTAGGTAATCGACTTGCAAACGTTGCATTTTCAATCGTAGGCGAGAAGCTTTGAAAGCAGCCGTATCCGAAAAGGACGCGCACCTGGCTCTGCTGGAGCTTTCCGGGATTAAAAATGCTGTTCAGTCCGAACAAGCTGAACAGTTGAAGGCAGACAGAACACGGTTGTTGGATAAGCTGAAAAAAGAGGTATGGTTGATTTGTTATAAATCAGTTGATAATTGATATATGTGTAAACACCATGTTTTAGTAGATTTATCGTATCGAAATTGTGTTTTGTCGTTTCACACGACGTAGCGAATATGTTCTGATCAGGGCTTGAAAGAACCTAAATTTCAGACTATATCAGTTTCAGTTACGGTTCTTATATCAGCTACCATATCAATTCTATAACCGTTATTTTTTAGGTTTCGTACAAGTTCTAAAATGGTTATAGAACCGATTCTCATAATAAGAGAATTTTATATATTCCGCTTATAGATTCCTGTATACATGTAAGCATATTTGTTGCCAACTCTAGAAGAATAAAAGTTCTTCGTGCCTGTTTGAAGAACCCAAATCGATATCAAAACAGTTTCCAAGCTCTGGTCCTGATAATTTCTCTGTGAAGAGTGTTCTCCCTCGTGGTTTCAAATTAACGTGTTCGAACCGTGAACGACTTAGGATGAAAAAAGCATCGAGTTGTCAACGGAGTCCAGTTCAACAGGCTCAGAGGGAACGCCGCCGTTGCTCACGAAAATTCTAGAAACGTCTGACGACGACGACGGCGACAACGAAGGAACTCCGAACAATCGTCACAGTGATTCGAGTTCTCCAAGGCCAGCCACGACGAACGGCGACAGCTGCGGTCACGCGTGAGTTCGAATGAACATTCATCCACAAAACGATGCCCGGAAACTGTTCCCCAGTACAAGGTTCGTTTACCATTTTCTAGCAAAAAGAAGACAACACCAAAAGGATTGGAATTAAGAAGCAGACGGGATCAACCGAAGATCAATGAACAGGATAGCAGATAAGTACTCGAGACCAGCCACGGTCGCATTACAGTGTAGAAAAAGAGAGAAAAAAAGAAATTATCGGTCTCTCTTCGTTTCTTCGATGTTGTAATGTGCACACACCACGCAACCGTAGAGGCAGCCTAGAGCATTTCTAGAGTGTTTATAGAGAGAGATCAACAGAGATATACCTCATCGACTCCAACAGCGACAGTACCGACAGACAAGCATATATCTCTGTGTCGTTCATCATTTCACACGTAATCCATCAAAAGCATCGTCACCATCGGCATTCTCATCATCATCATCATCATCATCATCATCATCATCATCATCCGTCATTTTGATCACACCTTTGCGATACTCCATCAGGTGTCGACCAAGAAGGATCGATCTGTGAGCGAGTGGCAGGCCTCGTTTAAGTAAAATCGTAAACGAGGCTGGCCACATCACCGAAGACTTTCCCGAAGAGACTCGACGATCGATCGGCAGAATCTTCTTGGGAGACAACGGCGCGTATACCTTCTCTGGTATCGGTAGAGTGTTCTGTCAGTGATGAAACGTGCGGACCAGGTGTCTGAACAACGGGTTTTGCGTAAGAAACGAATAATAATCGTCGTGTGAAACGTCGGAGTAGTTCGTGATCGCGTGAAACGGATCCGTTGTTATCGTTTTTATGAAACTCGACGGTCCACGGTGACGCGTAGCTGTTTAAACGACTGGAACGAGTGGAAACGGAGCGTCCATGGAAGATTCAGTACACTTGTTACAAATATTTAGAAACTAGATAGTCTTTTTTTCCGTAGACGAGTTGGTTGCATGTCTCTCAGTGTCCTCCGGATGCTCTGTTTCTAACGAGGAATAAATACGTTGATCGTCGTTATTGATTCGTATCGATTACTATCGATCTTTCAAGCGTCGAGTTTCGTGCAACCGTGTGCATTTCCGTCGTTGCTTATCGCTTGGAATTGAGAATCATATTTTCCAGAACTAACGCGTAGGATACGAAATACCGTGAACACGACGTAAGGGTGGCCAGTTTGTTCTTTGTTCAATTGAACAGGTGACCATAACCGCGATCAACACCTTGTACGGGAAAGTATCGACCGAAAATTCCTCAGAATCACCTGTGTCCATCGACTCCTGCAATGTTCTACTCCCTTCCATCGCGCCGATGAATTTTTCCCAATCGTCTGCAATTCGAATGATTCAATTGAAAAAAAAATACCGTACATAGCTACAATCATTCCATGGAGACGACGAACGCGTACAGTTTGTTTCCAAACCCCACCCTCCCCTTTTCTTCTTTTTTGTTTTTGGATTTCTTGTCACGGGTCCAAAGATTGTTGTATAACGGAGTGCTAGGTTCTAGTTAAAGGAAACGAAAGAAAAAAAAAAAGAAAGAAACAGAAAAAGTAGTAAAGTCGTTGTAACGAGATTATCCCTGACACCGAGGGATATGCTGTAAATTGTCCTTAAAATGGCGTGCGCGAGTGGGACAGCGTTGTTTCGATATTTAACAAAGGGAAGCCAAGGATTAGTGGAAAGGGAACTCGAGTCGTGGGTGCTGATTAGCTTTCAAGTTGACAATAATCGAACGTTTCGTGCATCCGGCGCGTCGGAAAAATGATCCTGCGATCGCGGTGACGATACGCGCGAAGAAAACATACACGAATCGAATCTTCAAGATTTGAATCTTCTTCGTGATTGTTATCTCATTTTGATATAGTTCGTCGGTCGAATCCCTCACGGAAACACACGACTAATAGCGTAAGAAATCGACGGGAACGTCTAAGAATGATCTTCATCGAACTAAGCAGTAAACGTCAAAGGGACGGTAAAAAACGCGTAATGTATATATTTATACATATATAAACACAGGACAGTTGCTGATAACAACACAGTGTACACAGTTGTAGTATATTTAAATAGATATGATCGCCATTCGTATTTACTCGAGCCACGATTATTACGGATTTGTATATAATATAGACTGTTGACCCACGGGAACGGCATCCATATAGTTTCTCAATCTCGAATAACACTTACGTTGACGACCGTGTAGATATTTATAAACTTGTTACGAAACTTTACGTTCGTCGTTAGAACGATATTTATGGAAAATTGTTGGAACATTCTATATTACAATATAGACGAGAGAGAATGTTTATGATGATCGTGTTTAAAACGATCTTGCAAAAGATACACAAGGAAGTTCTTCTAGTTTCTTGTTATTTTGCGGAATATCAAAGAAATTCGAAACACGTATATGCACCACGCACCAATGTTTTCTTCGCGCGTCATCGTGAGCACATCTCCATCCAGGACACAGGCCAAACGATCGTCTTAAAACGTAACGGAGTCACAATTGACGGGGAAGCCCATTCTTTTGACGAAGATGGGTGACGTAAGGACCCGTTACGAAGAGACATCTGTACTTTCTCAGATTGACATCGGGACTGAAGCTCGGATAATTCTCGAGAGTCAACGATATTGATCGTGTAATAACTTCCGATTAACACGAAACACGGGGGAAGATCGGTGTTCACTGGCGTGTTAATGATAATTGTCTCGATGCGGATAGGATCGATTATCTGGAATACAGATTCAGCGAAATGTATCGGTCGACACGAGGGGACAGCAGGGATCAGGATCGTTAACGCACGAGGCATTTCAGGAGAGACGAAAATTAATTATTCAATGGGAAACCACGTGTGTCGTGTTTGTGTAAATATAGTATTGTCGACGTTTCTTCGATAGACTTGCTAGTTCGTGGTCCCGCAACCCTTGTGGTCCGCTCTGGTTCTGTACACCTGTTTCCCTCCCTACCCTTCCCATACAACTAGTCTATAGATTACCTTGTACTACGTGTATACATACTAGATATATACTATCTTCGCTAAACGAATTTGTCGAGCATTTAACACACTTGTAAAACTTTAACGAACGCTAGCTCTCTCTCTCTCTCTCTCTCTCTCTCTCTCTCTCTCTCTCTCTCCGGTGCATAATTGCCGTATTATTGGCCCGGGATTTCGCGGGATGAACGACCGAATTGTGTAAAGAAAAAAAGCGAGTCCAACGGAAAAACGTTGTGAATTGGCGATAGACGCGTCAGTTGTAACGGTAGGGAGCCATATATGCATATTGGGCGTCGTTTTATCGCGAGTATACACTTGGAATCTTCCCGAATTGTCGAATGTCCCGGGCTACCGTCGCGAATTGAACAGATATCCGCGAGCAACGCGGACGAAGCATCGCGTGCTTCCGAACGGGATAACAAACGAATCGAGCAATCTGTCGAAACGAACAAAGTTAGTTAAAACGACGCGATATCAGCGACGGAAGAACAATAGATACTTAATGTATATACAGGATGTTCCAAGATAGTTGTAAGTCCTTGAAAAGAGTGAGTCGTGAGGTGATTTGAAACAACTTTTTCCTTAACAAAAAAGTTCTCCGAGCTTTGTTACCGAGATATTAACGAAAAACCCTGACCAATCAGAACGCGAGTCTGCTGGCTGAGCTCCAGCGGTACGGTTGGGGGAAATCAATCGGCAGACTCGCCCTCTGATTGGTCGGGGTTTTTCGTTAATATCTCATTATCAAAGCCTAGGAGAAGTTTTTCGCTACGGAAAATATTGTTTCAAATTACTTCAGGAATTACCCCTTTCAAGGATTTACACCTATTTTAGTACACCCTGTATATACGTTTTCTTTTTGTTCGAAGGAAGAGATTCGATGAACGACGCGCGCTTCGTCCGCCTCTCGCTCACTGTATACATATTATAAATAAATAAAACTATACATATATCGTCGTGTCTGCCGTACGAAGAATTAATGACATGTTGAAAGTGTAAAATTTTATCGTTAAATACTTTAAAGAAGATGCTCTCTTTAATTCGTCGATAATGCGCTCTTTCTCGTTGTTGGTACACACGCGACACAATTTTTGCTTTTTTTCCATTCGATCTCCGACGCCCCAATTGCGCGAGAAACAACGCGCGCGAACCCTACTGGATAAATATTCGCAATTAAGGAGCCAACACCGATTTTTATGACTTTTCAATCAAAAAAATTGTGAAGGTTTTAGTTGGGGGCTACCGTTTGTAACGAAGTTATTATCAAAAAAAATGTACGCAGATAATTAGTTACAAGTTTGGCCTTCTCGGTGAGTTCGATCTTTTTTTTCAATATTACTAATAAAAACAAGGTATCATCCCTCAAGACAATAGACGAGCTTATCATCATAAGGCCAGTTATTATCATAAAAAGTCATTCCAAGTTGGTTAGAGACAGTTCAAGAAAAAGTTATCATTGTTCCCTTAATAAGTACGACACTAAAGTTTTTTTGATAATAACTTTTATACAAACGGTGATTCCCAACTAAAACCTTCACATATCCAGGATTGTTGACCTTGACAACATATTAAAAAATCATCGAAAGGTGGCTCCCTTATTGTAAATATTTACCCCCTACTGATTAGAAGTCACATACGCCGGAACACAAGGGGGGGGAGGGGGGTAAAACGGATCGTGCGCAGGGCAGACGATCGTCGAGAGCTACACGGGCCGGCCATACCTCATCGAAACGCTTCTCTGCCCTGTGTAGCCAGACGGAAAGCAACGTCTTAATTATCCTCGCCGACGTATATTGTATTTAGTCGGAGAAACGTTCCTCTCTTACCTCTTCTCTCGATTCGCGACCCCCCTGGTGACCAATAAATAATACGCAAACCAGCGATCATCGTCGCGAGCATTCGAAATCGTCCTGTGTTCTGTTTCCTGTACAGGCATTCAGGTCTTTTACGTGGAGGTATATATTACGTAAAATGAACAATAACAGAGAAGAGGCTAAATATCCGAATACTTTCTTAAAAATTAGTCGAACGAGATAGACGAAGATTGGCAGTTGAAAATTTGATTAGGGAATTAGACGAGAACGAAGACACACACACTCGTTACCGGAAATCCCTTCGAGGATTCATTCAACGCAAAAAACGAATTCAGACAATCCAACGACGAGAGGCTGTTTACACGCCATTACTCGAGATAATCAATGTTACCACACAATCTCTATACGAAGCTCGACCACTTTAGTTATCCTTGCTTTTTTCGACCGTTTGTATCGTCTGATTAGTGTATAGTTATATATTAAATCGGATAATTTTTTAGGAAATGGGGAGAGGTCTTCGTTCTCTCGATCGCAACACGGAGAGATTTGTTTAATTGTTAATCCTCGGGATCGAGAAAGAGATAGAGAGGCGGAACTAGGAGAAAGTAAAAACGAAGGAGATTGAAAGAATGAAACTGGAACGGTTAGTAAACGTGTGCCACCGTCATATCAAGCCTATATCATCGTGTTACATTATATTCATATATATATATATATATATATATATATATTATATATATATACACCTAAGCAGAAAAAAATAATATTACCGTTAATCGACACAATTGTTAAAGAGGAGTGACTGAAAAAAATATCGTGTGAATGCGCGTTGATAAAAAGACAAAAAAACAATAAGTCTTTCTTTCGATCGCTCGAGGATTGGGAAGCCCCTGAGCAAGTTTTTTCGAATCTTACGAATCTTCTACCGGCACTCTTTATTCTGCAAACACTCGACTGTTCACTTCGATCAGTAATGAAAAAGAAAAAAAAACAATCGTTCCGACACTTATCATCTTACCGTCTTTGTTAGATGAATGAAAATAAAAAAAAAAAGGTTGTAAACGTAGGATGTAATCGCTTTAAACAAATTGATCCACGTATCTTGAATTTTAAGACTGTTTAACGAATAAAATTATCAAAGTGACACTGTTGCGAGGAAAATGTTTCGATGTTGCGTCGTTCTATTTAAAATAGTCTCCGAGATATATCAAGTATTTAAGAGAAAAAAAAAGTATGAACGAGAAGTCTGAAGGGCAGAATATATAGGCACTTCGAATACGAAGAAAAGATAGCAGAAATAAGTCGAACTTGGCTCTCTTTATTTGCAAAATTTCACTTGGAAACAGGGCGAAACAAAACCGATAAGCATTAATTAGATTGCACGGCCATTTTAACGAATGACGTCCAAATGTTTAAAAAAAAAAAACAAATGGGACGCAACACGGATTGGTGAATCGACTTGCAGAATGTTTCGTGTTCCTTCGAGTCGAATAAAAGGGGCTTGGTAAGTTAGTAACTGTCCCTCGTACGAATCACGATTAGGTTCCCGACGCGAAAGCCCTGCGGAAATTCAAATCGTTCGGTCCGCACTCGAGTGATCCTAAGCTGAGACGAGGTGAAAATGCGAAGCGAAGAGAAGCTAAACCTCTGCGAGTGACCGGTGAGAGCGCGCGTGAACGAGGCCGTCTCGATATTATTTTTCGACTCGACTGTTTAGTATCTACGATGAAACGAAAAAAAAAAAGAAGAAAAAAAAAACGTTTTTATGTGAACTATTGCGTAAGGAAAGCCGTGACGGCGTCATATCTGTCCGGTGCTGGGACAAGCGCGGCCGTTCAACGAAAAAAAAAAAAAAAGAAGAAAATTCTCCTGTAAAATGAAATTCCCCCCGGTGTTCCGCCTTGCGATGCTAGGCAATTCTCTTCTTCGTGAGGCCGTGCAAACGGAAAAAAAAATATGAATCGTGAAAATTGCGTTGTTGAATCGGGCCGCGAGATAAAGAGTCCATTCTGGAACCGACGCCGCGACGGTGTGGCTCCTCCTGCCCCCTTTTTTTATTCTCCAATTTCTACGTGTTTAATCGTTAAGTGAAACAGAGAATTTAAGAGAAAGAGAGTGTGTGTGTCTGTGCGTGTGTGTGTGTGTGTATAAGAGAGAACGTGAGAGACAGAGACGAAATACGAAAAGAAGTAGAGTTACGTTTGACGATGCGAAACGGCGATATGTTTCGAGTTCGTTCGTTGATTAACGAGAACGCAATACGAGTTTCGGATCGCGTGTACATACCTAAGAGGAACACGATAATAATGCGTATGTATGCGTGTGCGACAGGACAGAAAGGGAGCGAGAGAAATATTGCGTGAAGGACGAAGAGAAGAAAAGAAAATTACACGGATGGGGAACGAAGCGAGTTATGCTTTTAAGGTCTTTACGACGCTTCATTTATCGAGCGAACTAGGACGCGATCGGACGAGATCGAGGGTATCCTATCGTGTTGCGATTTATTCTATCTTTTTTTTTTTTTTTTCTCTCTCTCTCTCTCTCTCTCTCTCTCTCTCTCTCTCTCTCTCTCTCTTTCTCTCTTGCACGCGATAGAAATCATCGCTCGAACGACACACGGTCGACGGAGCAGATTAGGGGTGGTGAACCGAGGACTAGAGTGTAAGTTTAACGAGTAAGCGTAAGATAAATCTATAAAGAAAGAACAAAAAAAAAAAAACAGAAACCAGTAAACAGTTTATCGAAGTACATTGTTGCAACTGCCATGCTGTGTGCCATTATATAACGGAGTCACGTTTGTCGTAAAATGCAGAAGACACGAGAAAAACAAAGAATAATGAAGGAAAGAAAAAGAAATACACGAAACGAAAAATCTGTTGTGCGTCTGAAAGTGTTCTCGGGTCCTATCGCTTCGAGATGTCTCGAGGGGCCCGGGCCGTTCTTCTGTCTGCGATTCGAACGTGGTTCCCGCGCATTCTGGATTCAAATATGAATGAATTTACAACGAAGAGTCTTGGACGGGATGTCCTTTAGGTCGGATATAGCGAGACGTAACAATACATTTTTCTGTTCTTACGACGGAATATTATTTCTGGAGTATCAAGAAACAATTATTAATTGTTCAACAATTATAACCGTTGAATATGTGTCTGTGAAATTGAAAGAGTCTCTCGTTGTTAGAGCAAAGAATGCCACGGAAACGAGGAAGTTGGGGCCTCGTGGAATTCGCGTGCACTCGCCCAGGCGAACCAACATGTAAATTATAGATGGAAATGGAATTATGGAATGGAATGAATTAATGTATAATATACATATGTGTTTATTCAGCCGAGCGCGTGCACGAGATTTTCCTCCAATCGATGAGTTTTCCACCGTCGCGTCGCAGACCGAAGAAAGATTGTTCATGATCGGGCGAGAATCGTATTTTTCCGTGGATTCGTTCCTGCATCGGGGAAATCGTGACAAGAAAACTAGACATACATATTTTCTGTACCGATACGTTGCATTTAAATTCGGATCCCGTTGCAGCAATTCAAAACTTAAGTATATTGTAATATGGCCGAGAACCGGTAGCAAAATCACGAGAGTCGTTCACTTTTATCGAATTCTTGTATAATTTTAACGGTGTACATTGTCGTCGAGACCATCAACCATACACGACAACGTGTTCGCGGGTTTTTCCGATAACTTCGTGAGCGAAAATCGTTTTGGTAATTAGCCTGTGATTTGTTAAGGCACGAAGAATCTATTTAGCATTTTGTTCCTTTCGAAAGCATGTCTACGTGTGGGTGTGTGTACGTGTATAATTGTAGGTCGAAAGTCGATCATAACTGTATAAAAATGTCGTGTTGTCTCGCTTCGTGTACACACTGTCGCTCGTAATCACCCGCGAAGATGGTTAGTAAGTTTCTGACGACAAAGGTACACACAACGCGAGACTAATGTGTTCATCGATCGTGGTTACGAAGATCAATGTGTGTATGTGTGTACGTGTTGCGTTGCGTTTAGTCGAAGTGAACGTCGTTACTTTCGTAGAATACCCGCGCAAGAACGAATTCCCGCGTTCGGCTAGGCTCGATTTTCTCGTGTCGCGACGTTTTCGCGGAGAACGCGAAAACCAAGAAAGACAAGAACCGGGTCTATGTATAATCCAATTGTTAGCCGACAGCCGACGGTATGTGGAGAGGAGCAAAACAAAAAAAAAAAAAAATGATGACATTAATTAAGAAGTAAAAACCAAAGATGACGTCGACCCATCATAGATTCAAGCACAATAAGGAACTATAGTAGGGCCAGGCACAATAAAATACGGCCGTCACGTTGTAGGCAGCGATCTGTTAGAGCGACAAGTCATATAAGTATCTATATAGCGACACTATTAAATAAACACATATTGTCTATTGTCACGAGAAGTGTATTCATTGTTAAACGCTGGCAACCCTTCTCCATGACTAATGGTTTATAGATCTCGCATTGAGTTGAATAAACACACATAAACGAAGAGAAACAGCGAATTTTCTATTCCGTCGAACCTGACATTAAAATTTGCCAATTACCACTATTTCTTCTTGCACCAAAGGGTTTTCCCGTATTAAATTAAAATAAAAAAATTACGACGATCGTAAAACTTTCGAACGGTAACGGTAGTACCTGTTGAAGGTTTCAGAAACAGGTAGGTGGGAGACATTGAAAGTTATCGATACACTCTTTGTCGTATCGATAGAAATTTTTCAATCTGAATGTAGTTTCTTAATCGATGAATTCTCTCTTCCCTTCAAAGAGTACCAGTCATTTTTCAGTCGAGATAAACGAAACGCGATGAAAGTGTCGTAGAGAACAGAACATGGTAACGCCACGTTACAGTGCATCGGTTCAAGATTTAAGACTGGACGCTCACAAAATGATAAAGCAGAAAGGTACGTTATGATCGCTACGATAACAGATTTTCCATACTGGTTACGCGTTAATTTTTCTAATTGATCGTGGTATTCGTCCATTTAGACCAAGGTGATAAAATCAAAGATGAAAAAAGGGAAAAACAGAGGAACCGGGCGATGGAGATGAAATTGGAGCAGCACACGAAAATATTCGCTTCGATGTGCCCTGACGAAATTCTGGATTATTACGATAATTACGCGACCAGAATGTACTATACCACTTTAATGCTTGGCGATGTATCAGGTATAACACAACGCTACAATTATCGCAATAGGTATTCCTGCGATAATTATCACTGCGGTATCATTGGCCATGTAAGACTCTAAAACGATCGAATGCATTCGGACAGGGTTCACGGATCTCGCTGAGAAGTACACGAAAACGGGCAGAGGCGGTCCATCGAAGTTGACGGAAACATTGAACAGCTACATCGGCGCGATGGTGCAGGAAATACTGTCGCACAACGGTGACGTGCTGAAATTCTCCGGGGACGCGTTTATCGTGATGTGGAAGCTGAACGAGGGTATGATGATGCGGGATCTCGCGATCGAAGCGATGCAAACCGCTTGTATTATTCAGAAACACTTTGGAACGTACGAGACCGAGGTTGGAGTGACTCTGAAAGGTTTACAATAATCAGTATGATTCTTCTTACGATTGGTCCTATTCAACGATCAGTTTCGATAATTTAGTGAAACTAGCGATAGCTTCTGGAAAAACATACTTCACGTCCATTGGACGCCCGGACAGCGTGTCCCATTACATTATCACTGGGAAACCGGTGTGGGATGTAAAGTTCGCCGAGGGTCTCTGTCGGTAATAACATAAATCAATTCGATTAATTATTCGCCGAAATAAAGCCAACGGATAGCCATTTTAATCGTATCGTACACTCGACCAAGGGGCGGCGATATTCTGGTTGCGCCCAGTAGCTGGCAATGGGTGAATCCGAACGAGTATGTGCATGAGACACTTGAGGATGGAGTACACACTTTAATACTGGCGTGCACGAGCACGTGGTATCAGTCGAGGGATGACGAGGCGCAAGTGAGCACCGAGGGTAAAGTTTAGAATCGTTATATACATACCTTTACAACACACAACTTTTTTCTGCACATCATTAACGAACTCAGAGATCTGATTCAGACGAGAACGAACGCATCGACTATTACGATTCTACCGGATTCGCTTCCAAGACAGTGATGGGTTCTGAGACCGAAGCGGTGATGATGAGCCTGGCTGGCAATCTAGAGAGAGAAAGATTCAAGCAGATCGATTATAGCTGTAAGTTAATACGAGGGCTGTAGCGAAAGTAACGCAAAAGTGTGCATAACTTGTTTATTAAGCGATGTAGGTTGTTATTTACATCCGTGACCTAGTTTTTTCTTTTACGGAAATATTTATTTATACATTTTAATGTACCAATATATTTTACTGTTTGATATACAGTCACTTTTACCTTTTTATTCATTTACTCTATTTATTTATTTATTTTACTGACATAAGCGTATTTTAACTTATTGACAACTTTTATCTATGATATAGGCCAAATGCGAGTCTCCTGACTTCGCGAATTTCGCCAATACACTTTTATAAAATTAGGACACTATATCGACTCAGGATCCCTTGTTCCTAACTTCTTTTTACCGCGGAGACGTCTTTTAACCGTCGTTCCTCCCCAAGGTTAAACGGCGTCTTACACAGAATACCGAGAGTCATATCGGTGACCGGTCGTCTCTCCCAAAGTCATGTTTTCACAGTACCGGAAAAGACGCTGTGGGTTAGGATGGAGGGCTTTAAAAAAAAGAGCGATGTAGGTTGTTTAAATTGCACATATTGTTGGAGTAACTCTTCCCTCCATCCAAAGGGACTACTCAAATAGTCGCCTTTATAAGCGATGCATTTTCAAACAACGTGTGTACTTCGAATAACCTATATCGGTTAATAAAAAACTTACGCTCACTTTTGCGTTACTTTCGGTACAACCCTTGTATCATTGTCGTGGCGATTTAAAAATGGCACCGGCTGTTCTTTCAGTGCGACCGAAAGTTATAAAGATAGCGAAAGCTCGTCTCAAGGACGCTTTAAGGAGCTACATGCTGAGGCCGGTTATTCGATCCGTGGAAATGGACGAGCCCCTGGAATATCTAACCGAAATGCGACAGGTGGTGATACTGTTCATCAACGTTCTCACGTCGACCGTAGGCAAGAGAACGCTCATCAGTTTGGTCAACTCGGCGTACAAGCTGGTTTGCAAGTCAGCCGCCACCATTCCCTATTCCGTACACCGTTCGATAAATTTTAACTTCCTACCTCATAACAGTTAACAGGTGTTTGTGATAGATTTCATTAGCTAAATATGAATCTGCAAATCGTTTTTTGTTCACAGTATGTCCAGTTTTTGAAAAACTACATTTTTTTTTAAATTGCAAACATAATAACAATCCATAAAATTGATTTGTTCTTAAAGACTGAACGTCCTGGGGAAAAAACGGTTTGATCAAAAATCTATTAGAAACGCCTATTAGCAGTCAGAGGTATTTTACATGTTGACCAGTGTTGTTAATGTTCCCTTTTGCGATGCAATTTTTCTCCGATAACGTAAAATTTTCCATCGAAGGATCGTCGGTGGAATGCACGGATGCGTGAACAAGACGTCCCTGTTCGACAAGGATCTGATGTTTCTCTGTGTGTTCGGTCTGCGCGGGGACAAACACGAGCTGGAGTCCCAGATCGGTTTGAAGTGCGCGTCGAAGCTGCGAAACACCCTGGCAGGGCTGAAGTACGTGAAATCTGTTACCGTCAGCGTAACAACGGGGATGACGTACTGCGGCGTGGTCGGTCACATTTTACGAAGGGAGTACACCGTGATCGGTATGTCGGTGAACAAGGCCGCGAGACTTATGGTCGCTTATCGCGACAAAGTGGTCTGCGACCGGGAGAGCTTCCTTCAGTCTCACCTCGAAGCAAGACACTTCATTCTGCAAGAGCCGCGATACTTGAAGGGGATCACAAACGTGGGTCCAATATATGAATTTCAGGAGAAACCGAAGTAAGTCATCTATCGTCGAGTCTCATCAAAGACAACTGATCGATTTCAAGGTCCCATCCGTTGCATTAGGTACAACGTGACGGATTTAGTATGGAACAAGTATCCGTTACTCGGCCGAGACGCCGAAATCAAGAAGTTCCAGGAGATTATGAAGAAATTATTAGAATACTCCATGGGGGAGAAATCGAATCGTGGCCCAAGACCGAAGTACAATACGCTGGTCATAAAGTACCTTCACATTGAATGTGTATCACAATTGAGATCTGTACCGTGAATGTTCGTTGATTATTTACACTCGTGATCGGGTCGCAGGGGCGAGCCAAGGATAGGCAAAACGAAACTGCTGGACGAGTGCACGCAGAAAGTTCCCGTTGGAATTCACTGCAATTACGTTTCCTTAAGGTCGAACAATTCCAAGGTTGACAGCTTCGTACTATTCCGAGTCGTTTGTTGCTCGCCGAAAAAACATTCTATCCGTAATGAACCTTGAATTTTTGACATCTTGTATACCGTATTAAAGAGACCGCGTATTTCTCTCAGCGCAGGCCCCGTACAGTTTGATTCTCATGATATTCTCGATGTCCCTCGCGTTCACCGTCTCGTCGATGCGCAAGGAACGGGAGGACAAGCTGCTCCGCCGTCTGGGCAAGGTGCGCCAATCCCATTTCCTTTGCGCCCTTAATCAGCCGTTCAACGTACGTTTCCCAATAACGCATCGGTACAACATGTTGTCTGACATGGACAAATGGAAAATCCTCCGGAAGTTTCTGTTGAAATTATTGAAGAGTTGCTTCACGGAACTCTGGGTAATTATCATCGATGACGCCGAGTACACCGACCACGAGTCGCTGCGGCTATTCGACGTTCTGACGAAGAGGGACATGGTGTTCTTCGTTCTTGGTATCGGCAGGAAACTCGGGACCGAGTTCCAATTGCATCCGAACCTTCTGGACAGAGGAAAGGTAATTTTTTGCAGATTAAAATTCGATCGTCTTACTATCAGGCTACATTTCGTTGATTCTTCTTTCGGCAGATTATCGAACTTCACGGAATAGATAGGTGGTTCCATGCTGGTCTCGCCTGTCAAACCTTAAACGTAAACGGTTTGCCGGCAGAGCTCGAGAAGTGAGTTGCATCACAGACGAGATATAAGAATAGACCTAACATGCAATGTAATTTTCATTCACTTCAGTATTCCATTCCTTGCTTGTGTGTGTGTGTGTGTCTGTTGTGTGACATCATGATGTCAAACGTAGGTCCTGAAGTCTGAAACTTTTATGTGGTGTGCGTTCGAAACAGCGTGATTTTTGTGGGAAACCAAGTCCCATAAGATGTTAGGTCTATTCTTATATCTCGTCTGTGGTTCCATCATTGTAATCGGTAATATATATTCCTCGTGGGATTGACACGAATGTTCGCTTTGAAGACTCATACAGGAGAAAAGTTTTGGTAATCCAGGCTGGATCGAGAGCTACTTGGTGAGCCTGATGCAAGCAGGTGGAATAGAGATAGTAATAATCAGCAAGAAGGAGGCGATTAAAAAGGGCTATGTGATGCCTCCTGTAAATATGTTGAAAAGGTTTTGTCCAATAGAAATATTAACAAAGTTTCGACGAACAGATCCGTTTCTCGTATTTATTCTTCGTGCGATTCTCTCATATCAGATTCGCGTCCACCGCGCCAATCACTAGGATAGAAGACAGTTTCGAAGAACGCAAGGACAGATGGCAGATGTACAGAATGAGTTTCAAAGTTCGTGCGTTACATTTTCCTTTTGCACAAACGACGACTAGTTTCATTATAGCAGACGATAATTTCACGTCAGGATAGCTTGATATCGTTGCTAGAGGAAAGCAGCGGAAACCCGCATAAACTGGAAATAACTGCGGATACCGACGAAACATTGATCGCTGTCTGCAAGATCTCGGAGAAGTTCTCGTACGACGATGTCGACACTGAAATCACGATGGACGGTAAAGATTCAACTTTTTTATTGCTACTATGGCGTGAAAAGGTATGCTGTAAATCAAGGATATTCACCAAGAACCATTATATCGCTGTTAGTTATGATCCTGAAGCTGTTCGATTCCTTGACGCCCCTCGATCAGCTCCTCCTGAAGTGCGCTTCCGTGATTGGCGAAACTGTCAACAGACATATGCTGGAATGTCTGATGAATCTGTCTGCTAAAAGAGAAATTGGACTTGGTACGTTACAAGTTCGAAACGAAATGGAATCGCCCAATTGAAATCTTTTCTTGGCACTGTGTCAGCTGTGGCGAAACTGTTCGAAATACGAGTCTTTGGATGCGCCATTGGAGACTTTTCCAGCAACACAGGACCCATAGTATTTATCCAGAACGTGCGGAATCCTACTACAGAGACGGACATATTCTGCAACTGCGTTGGACTTACTGTACCAAGTATAAATAATTATTTAAATGAAAGAAAAATTAAATGTACACATACGTGCCAGTATCCCTCAAGGGGTTAATACATTCGTAGCTGAAATCTGATCGAAGTCAGAATTATTAAACAAATGTATCTTCGATCTACACTTTCCATAAGTTAAGTAATCCTATAAACGATTACGATTACGATTAGACGTCTGCTAGTCGAGTGATTATCGTTGACTCGAATTACTTGAAGGTTGTATTTCCATAGCCGAGCTGGAAGATCTTCCGAGGTACGCTTCCTGCGGTTTAATGAGGTTCAAAATGACGATGTTTCGCGACACAACCTATCGGTGAGCAATAATTCTTCAGCCATTTGTCAGATGTCTATAAAAATCGCAAACGGTTAAGATTGCTCACGGAGAACCAAAAAATGGAGCTGCACAATCAAGCACTGAAGTATCTGAAACAGTATACGAGACGTTGCGCGTTCTGCGGAGAAGGTCAATTCGCGAAATTGTTGGGGAATGTATCGAAACGAGAAGACCGACTGAAGAAACGGGCAGTCATCGAGGGAATGTTTGAAAGCGTGGAATTTCGGTCCGCGTCCGCCATTAAAGAGATTGAAAGAAGTACGCGACTCAGCTTCTTTATAACGATTTCTTCTAATCCCTATTTTTGTCGATGATCGGATAACAGATCAGAAGAAATGGTTCTCCTGCCTGAACCTATTTCGACGCGTCGAGAGACGACCGACGATTACGTTCTCCGACGTGGATTTCAGTAACTGCCAGTGCGATCTGATATTAATGACCGTGTACACGCAAATGCTGGATCATTGTCGTGGTATTGGTACGTCGAGTGAGAGTTATAATATACTATTATTAAAGAAAGTAAAAGTCTCGTTTACCAGGGCTAAATGAGATGACAATGATCGCCATTTTGGAGTTCGCTGAAATCTGTCTGATGACGTCCAACATACCACAAGCACGAAAGCTGTTAGCGGAAAGCGAGACAATCTTGGGGAAGGTATAATTAAATGAAAACGAATACAAAACACTTGATCGTAATTATTACTTTTCTCGCGATATCCGCAGCTCTTCAGCGCGACCGAAGACGAAGTTATCGTTCTACCCTATCTGACTTCGAAAATTCAGACTCTGCAGGGACAGTGCTATCTCGAGAGCGGCTCTCTGTTCGAGGCGGAACAAATCCTCGAAGCGGCGTTGAATAATTTAGGGTACAAATTCCCGAAAATGGAGATAATGATAGATCTGAAGTCGATCGCGCAATTGGTACAACTGAGATGGAAGTTCAGCTGTATAAACGACTGGAATCTGAACACCGATTACGTTGCCACGCAAAGCAGTATAACCCAGTGTGCAGATTACACCGAGCAGTTGGCTGAATGCTTGGCGAAAATGTTCGATCTTTTCAGAGTGATTAATCAATCTTAATCAGATACTTTTCAACCAACTGCCGTGAATGTTAATTAAAAGTAATTTATATCGATGATTAGATCAAAGGTATGAAGAGACACGCGCGTTTAGCAGCGATCTGGGGCTTGAACACAGCCCTGGAAACCAATAGAAACTTGTTCGTCTTGAGTACATCCTATACCAACATGTTGATCACAGCGCATATGTATCAGGATAGGTCGGAGTTTTTGCAGGATTTCGAAACAAACCGTTAAATTGTAAGTTCTACTTGACCTTTTAATATGATTTCCGCAGGGCCATTGTTCCGTTCTTAGAGGAGAAGGGCCTCGAAATATGCAGGCAGAGCAAAGACGCTATCGAATCGCAGGAATTGAATATGATCGCTGAGCTTTACGCGGGAATATTCTTCTCCCGATGGGTAAACGGACAAATCTCGAAGGCGATTAAAATCGGCTTCATTTGCTGCAGAATGGCGGCTATGGTTGGATCCACATTTCTAAAGCTGCTAATAATGCCTCGGCTGGCTCATCTACTCATGCTTTCTTGCCGTCACTCGGAAGCGATTACACAGCTAAGAGAGCTAGGTAATCGAGTATCCACAGGCACAATCGGGGGACTCTGACGAGTCGAATTTTTTGTTTTTCTACTTTAAACCGTTTCACGTATTACAGAGTTCGAATCCAACTACGACTTGGATAAATCTGGTCGCACCTGGTACTATGCGCTTTGCGCGGACGTGCAGTTAGACACTGGAATAACTCTTCTGTCTTTTAAAGCTTGCGAACAGTATTTTCTTCGGGAAGGCGAGGCGATGATCAGCCTACATGATCCGGAAGCGGAAAGGCGGTACTTCGTCTCTATGTGGTTATGGCACGTATTTTCGATCGTCCGTTTTATTCGTCACTTTTGTGTCTGTAATCGAATTATTATAAATTTGTCGTCAAGGTGTGTCAGAACAGAACAGTGGGAGGCTTCCATAGTCTGGGAGAGGAGAAGCGTGAACAATTTACCTATTATGGATGAGCATATAGTAGCAGCTACTATTACTTCTCTGAAAAGACTCGAGGGTTTACTTATTCTATATGGTACTCATTTGTATATACTCATCTGTAATCACGGTGCCATGGGTGCAATAAATAATAGATTTTCGTACTTGCAGTACACAAGTTAAACAGTAGAAATATCGATGCAGTGACTACATTGACAGAAATAAAGAGCATTTTCAGGGAGATGAAGAAAATGACCAAGATCGTCAAGCTCACAATTCCCACGTAATAGGAATGCTGATTCTTGTAAATGTATAGTAAGGAATAAGAATTCTAAACACGTTATGAATCGTTACAGATACATACTGCTGAAAGCGTACTATTACATGATAAAGTTTCGAAAAGGAACGGCAATGAAGCTATTAAAACGTTTAAAAAAGGTGTGCTGGAAAATGGAGAATGAAATGGTTTACACATGGGCGACCCACTATGAGACGGTTCTCTTTCGTGATTCATGAATTATTTTTTTTGATACGCTAGTCGAATGCTCAAAACGTAATGTATAAAATACTATTTCGCAGGTTTGGTCAAATGGCGTGTCTTCCGTTCAAGAAGACAGGTGGAAGGATGCTTCAACCAGTAAATTACATTCCCAGTGGAGTGAAATCAATGCAAATGAATCTAATATGGTGATATTCACGTTTCCCTTGCCAATTTATCCAAACTGATATTAGGGAACAATGTAAAATAATAAAGTAATCTTAATCAACTGTTTTACTAACTGTAGTAGCAACATGGCTGAAAGGTACTTAAATCTGTCTGAAACTGCAATGTGTTTTCGATGAATTGTAGATTGAATTAAACCGCGTAACAAGTGACGAGACTGCGATTCGATTGTCACATTTTTTTTCGACTGCGTCTACTATTCCATGAAGTAATGAAAAATAAAAATCCTAGTATAACAAGCATATGTACATATTTCAAACATGACGTAAGTAGACTGGCACGTTGTTTCGTCGTAGGTAAAATAGTAACAAAAATTGGCATTAATTTTTAATTTCATCAACCAGCACTCAACCATGTAATTCGACCGGAAATGGTTCACCTTATTGTCAATCACCGGTGATTAATCCCACAATTTTCGTAAATCCTCCTACTAGATCTTGTACGGTAAGTTATAAAATGCTCAGTCCGTATAAAATACCTTACCTATAATTACTTAAAGATTTCGTAATATGTTGTAACTAGAAATAAATCAATAAATAATACATTCTCAGGTTTCCTTTTCTGCAACGTGCGCCCCATATGCGGTTCTCTCTAATTTTCCTCGTGCTCCTTATAGTGGTTCCTCATCTTATGTCTTATACTATGATAAATATCACCCCATTACAACGTTACGGAATGTTTATTCAGCGTACACCTGTCCTCCCTACAGTAAGATATATGTATTGTATTACCTATCCCATAGCAAACATATATGAAAAAAAATATATATAACATAATACTTTCTAATTTTCAGCATCTAGCACGTACAGATGTTAGACTATAGTAACTAGAAAACATGTTACTTGTTCCCTTGTAGTATTGATAGAATACAATGCAAAATTGTAATATTATATCATAATATCATTATCCTAAATAAAATGTGCGAAAACTTGCATATATCTGTATTTTTGATTAGGATGTAAAAAGTACAATTGATATTAGATTGTGTGAAATAACTTTTATTCTGATGTATAATAGAAATAGCAACTATGAGGTACATTATTACTCTACCAGTCACGTATTGGCTTCTGTGAAGCAAATGTTAATATCCAAGTATTACGTGGTTGTTTCATCCTTTGCACTTGGTTGTGTCTAGGAGATACCTTACATTTCACGTACTTAACTCCTTCCTTCCAGTGCAAAACACAATATTTACATCGTCGGTGTAGAACGGTTTTGGTTTTCATGTTGCAAGTGATATTGTACATGGGTACAATTGTTTGAAGTAGAGTCTTTGAACTAATATTGTTACTATACATATTTGATGGATTGCTTAGACATTGTTTAGAGCTCATATGATGCATTGTACGATTTGTAATGTTTATTAATGGTTCCACTGGAAATATTTTTGGAACAATAGAATTTATAGTTTGACACATGGTTTTGAATAATACAGATTTACTCATTGTTCCTGTAAATAAATTTATACACCGTTAATACAAATAAAGTCAATCAAATTGTTACCAATTTCAATGCATACAAGATACTTATTTAAATTAGAAGGATGTAAGGTTAAATTAACTCAAGTAACTTAAAATTAATGTCACTGACTGTTAAATGTTGATAGTACTTGGATCCACAAAAATGTATTAGTTGTGTAAAATTTAAGCAATATAGTTTATTAAATTATCACTATTCAATTAAATCCGTGATTAATCAAAATTTCTCGTAGGACTCACGAAGCATTAAAGCTCCGTTCACACGTAAATACACACACTTATAAACGCTTAAAAGGACTAGTAACTTAAGTTACGTCTTCCTGTAATATTGAGTATTGCGAAATTAACGAATTAGTTTCAAGACGATTTGTATAACTTAAATGAATGTAACACGTTGTATAAATAACTGTACTATTTACGTCACACTTAAAACAAGTTAGTTTCTAACAAGCGTTTGATAAAGAATTTTTTGTATATAGTTGAGTATTTCGATATATTTGAGTAGAAAGATTTACATAGAAAATAAAGTATACTGAATAATACCGTAAACAAAGAAAAGAATAGTTTAAAAGATATAAACAATTAACCTACAAAGCATTGAATATATCAAGACAGTATATAAACTGTATTCCACGATTTAGTTTATAATTATGATACACTTGTCACTGACGTATCATCGCAAACCTTTTTGTTGTTATCATTCGACCAACAGTGTGATAATTAATTTTTTTGTTTAGGTTATGCTTTATTCCTTATTTCTCTCTTAAAGTGGTCCTGATTATACTTGCACATCAATTTGTTATGTTAACTGTTGTACCGGACTAATACGTGTTCGCGATTTATGCAAGTTACAGTCATTAAACTTTTAAAATGCTATTACGGAGGATAAACTGTTTGTTACAAATTCCTGTAAGTACAACATATAGAGTAAAAAAAGTAATGCATGTTTATATTTTAAATATCTATTAAGAAATTGTTTCTTATTACAAAGTCTCATAACTTGTTCATTATTAAAATCATTAACATAAAATATGTTTGAACAGGTTCCTGCTCAGAAGATAAGTAATCGGTACCTAAATTTTGTACCTGTTGTAGTAGAACAAAGTGGAAGAGGTGAACGTGCATATGATATTTATTCACGTCTCTTAAAAGAAAGGATCATTTGTTTAATGGGCCCGGTATATTCTCAATTATGTTAACTTATATCATTATTTAAGCATATAGAAAATAGTAAAATATATTATAATCTGAGAACATATTTCTATGGTTTTGTAAATCAAAAAATTGTTTTGTTTTGTAGATCACAGATAGTGTGTCTTCTGTAGTAATTGCTCAACTGTTATTCCTTCAGTCAGAAAGTAGTAAAAACCCAATCCACATGTACATTAATTCACCTGGAGGCAGTGTAACTGCAGGTCTCGGCATATATGATACCATGCAATATGTTCTTCCTCCTGTTGCAACATGGTGTGTAGGACAGGCATGTTCAATGGCAAGTTTATTATTAGCTGCAGGAGCAAAGGGTATGCGTCATTCTTTACCAAATGCTAGAATTATGACACATCAGCCCTCAGGAGGAGTGTCTGGTCAGGCTACAGACATACAAATACAGGCTCTAGAAATTCTGAAGCTTAAAAAACAAATAAACAATTTGTATGTCAAACACACAGGCATGGATCTGGAAAAAATAGGTACCTAAACTTACTAAACTATGCTGGGATAGACTTATTTAACACACCATTACTTGTAGAACGTACTATGGAAAGGGATAATTTTATGAGTCCTGATCAAGCAAAGGAATTTGGAATAATTGACAAAGTATTAGCTCACCCTATGCAAGAGGAAGAAGAAAGGGCAAAAATGCCTGAGATTTCTCTTGAGGCTACCATACAACCCTGATGTTAGGATTGAGAAAAAAGTCTTATTTGAAATTACGAAATTTTATTAAAACATGTATTTATCAATATTTAAAAATAGTAATAAACTATTTTTAAAACAATTACAATCTATATCGTATATGTAACTGCACTCCATTGCAGTTGTTGCGGCCATATTTCGTAAACTTTATGCGCACATAAAGTATATAATGATGACTTTGTATGTGATGCAACTATTCAAATCACTTTGATATTATTCCTCAGGCAAGCACAATATATCACCAAGCATTTATTCGTTATATGATAAGAATACGTAATGCTATGATTATAAGAAAGACTGCGTAAAATAGTAATGGAAGACGAGATTTTGTATCAAAACGTATGTATGTACAAATTATGAATAATTTTGATTTAATAATTGGCAGTTGTTCGCTTAAAATATTCTTAAAAATACGTGGTGTTTTATAATCCCATTAACAGTCTATTATCACCGAAAATACTTCTCATAAAAAGGACGGAATTGTTTACGTGTATCGATGCTGGACAACGATAAAGCGCTTCACAGTATAGCGACATTCTATGTCAATGAAAAACATATATTCCCCTAATACCAGCTTTTGAAATACCAGCTTCGTATATGCTTTTAAACCGTGTGATTTCTCTATTAAAATTACTGAGGACACACTTGAGCATGTGCAAGCATCAATATATCTTTTTTCTCTTTAGGAAATCTAAGCTCCCTTCCGGCTAAACGCGCTGCTTCAAGTTCTCTTTCAGCTAACGCCAATTCCATAGCGACAACGCCACCGCCGCTTTCGTGCTCTCTTGCCACCCAATCTAATGCCATTTGACTACGCATATCATCGTCCAAAGCACGATGACTGTAATGAGCGACTACTTCTTGTCTGCTACATTGTCTTTCCCTCATAGCCTTCAGTGAACCATTCCAATGAAGTAATTGAAAGACTGTCATTAACTCTTGAAATTCTAACATTGTTCTCCCACGATTGCATTCTAACATAAAACGAAATGCACCTATACCCGTATTTGGATCTTCCTTCTCATCTCCACTTCCCTACAAACAAGAACAGTTTAAAATTCTCTCTCTATTTTACTAATAGCACAATGCTCCAACAAATAAATTACATACTTGCGCTTGATTAACAACTCCATTAGATGTTGTAGAAGGTTTGGCAAAGCTGGCTCTTGCTTCAGCAACAGCCTTTTCTATAAAATCATCTGTTATCTTCCTTGCTGGATGCTCATTGAAAACAGAATTCATTAAAGCAATTTTTGCTGCTGATCTACGAGCTTCTGCCTTGGTTGGGCAATTCTGAAAGCTACCAAAACAAGATCCTCCAGGAAGGGTCACGTAACAAACGTAAGGTGGACTGGTACCAGGTACAGATTCATAAATAACTAAAGCTCCATTCCTGAGTTCTGTTCCTCTGCTTTGTTTCATCTGCCAGAACTCTTGTAGAGCTTCCACCACATTCACTACAAAGAAGACAAATAAAATTCTTAGGTCACATATATATATATATGTATATATAGATATCAAATAAAGAGATTGTCATACCTCTTCCATAGCCTTGAGTATGCTTAGCAAAGCTATTAACAACAGCTTCCACAGCATCTTTTAATACTTGTTTGTCCCTGGCATCTACCAGTCCTCCTGTGATACCCATATTTTCAGGAACACGGGACTTTGTTTTAACCGGCATTATGCCCTGCATTACCTTTTATAAACTCACGTACATTTACGTCCTAGAAGTAAAATTATAACAAAGGATATAATTAGCATTCCACTATTTAAAGTACATTCTTGATAATATTGATAGATCACAAATTAAATAAATAAGAAGTTGGAGTTAAAAAGGGAAGGATAGTTGACAGTGTTCAAATGGAGTTCCTTTTTCCGAGTAACAATCCACAAAAAGATTATTTACATAGTATCTCTTAAGAGAATCGGAATGAAAGTGTCAGAAGGTGTTTACGTACGTAGTTAAAATCAGCGTAACAGTGTTAGAGTGAGAACTGTCTTTCCCAGGTGTTCGGTCCGGGCCCCGGAGTGCTGTGCTAGTGACGAAACGGTGCAGTAATCGCTGTGACACCGGGGGCATCAGACGCGAGAAGAAACCCAGGAGGCCCACCTGCAGAGACCCGGATGCCCAGGAATTCGCGTAAATTACTCTCCGATCGGCGAACCGAGCGCTGCAGGATCAAATTGCAAGATACATATAATGCGTTTAATGGCCCCGGACTGCTGACGATTTCCAGAAAACCAGGGCTGTATTCGTTGTTCAAGCGCCCCGTTCGATTTCGAAGTAGGTAATTGTCATCGAGGCTTGCCAACCGATCGTAAACGATTTCTATCACGGGACAGTATCGGATTCTCTTACCATAGGATATAAAAATATAGACAGCGCGTCAGCCTGAAACGGACGACTCAACTTTAGAAAGAGGTAGATAGCTTTCGATGGAGTTGGCATCTCTTTTTAAATCTAAGTGGTTCTATGTCTATGCTTATGCTGCCCATTAGCATATATGTATAATAGACTGCAGGGCTTATGGTAGGGCTGAAGTTGAGACCGAAGGACAGAAGTAGCGCCGGAGTAACTCTTTCTTGCTCCCACATCGCAGAGGGCGGTGGAAAAAGCGCAAAGGGTGGAGGAAAAAGGGGAAAAAATTTACCCGATAAATAAGTAGTACCACCGACTAGGTATAGAATAGACCTATCATCCAATGCTTTTTTCTGTCCCACGTTCATAGGGCTACGTTGGTCCCTTCTTAGATTTAACGTAGTTCACAAATTCACCGTTCTCATAACGTAGAGGGCAGCAGAAAATCCCTGACTTTTTACACTATCGGTATTTCAGAACATGAGACACGAAGTTCCATAAGATGATAGGTCTATCCTATACCTAGTCGGTGGTAGTACTTAAGGCAATTGTTAAATTTATAGAAATACTATGATTCGATTCATGCTATCCGTGTTCGGCGCAGTGTTATCAGAGACCCCGTGTGGTGAGAACGTGGGGCCATACAACCCCCAGAGACTCCATGTGGTGAGATAGTGAGGTCATAGAACCCCCACAGGTGGCGCTAGAGACCTCGTGTGGTGACATAGTGGGGTCATAGAACCCCTGACGGTCGCGTCGCATCCCACTTGTATTATATTTCGCGTCTCGTATATTGTATTTCGTGTCTCGTTCACACTGTGCATGAGTGAGTGACATTTACCATTTGTTAAAGATCTTTCACAATGGTATTGAATGCTACAATAGGCTATGTACAAATCATAAGGTTTCTTTTTATCAATCATTATCAATTGCCTTGACTTGTGATTAACCGTGTCATCTGTCAGATTCTCGTTTTTGGACCATGTACTTTAACCCAAGGAAGTGACTACAAACTAGGAACCATACAACGCGATAAGAGTATCGAAGGAAGGATTAACCTGTTGTGAAATTGTTCACTTGCCACTTGAAGAAAAAAGATGGGTAATAGATCCAGTCTGCTTTTACGGGAAGAGGAAATAGCCCAGATTCAGGAAGCCACTGGTTGTAAGTTTTTTTATTAATAAACAAACATGGAACTTTGACAGAAGTTCGTTTCATGTTTTAAGGGATTACTGACGTATATTTTATTTTGTACATGTTAGAAGTATTATAAACAAGTTGTTATTTAATGTAATTACAGTCACTCCAAACCAAATTGAACGTCTGTATAGTCGCTTCACTAGTTTGGACCGTGGAGATTGTGGCACATTAAGTCGTGAGGACTTTCTCAGAATTCCTGAATTAGCAATAAATCCTCTGGGTGACAGAATTGTGAATGCTTTCTTCGAGGAAAGTGGAAATGACAGAGTAAATTTTCTACAATTCATGCAAGTTCTTGCTCATTTTAGGCCTATCAAGAAAAACAGCCCTAACAGGTTAAATTCTAGGCAACAGAAGCTGAAGTGTAAGTTTAATATTAGCTTATTGGTATTATAGAATATAGTTCTCGCAGAGATTTACCATGGTTGTAAACTAACGCTTCGACCAACCGCACTAATCGATGCCATCGCTTCCAAGCATGTGCCCTGGATTCTGTTGTAGGGTTCTACACGATAAAAGAGTGACAATTTATGACTAACAGTATTTTGTTTGCAAGTAGAAAAACTGCATATATTAATTACTCGTTAAAATATTTGGAATTTTTGCTTCAATATATTGAACAGCTGTTCTTCCCACATACCCCACAATCACTCATATATTTCTGTCAGTTCGCATGTTCCGATACCCGAAACATGTTTACTTTACCGCTCGACTGATTTTACGATTACGCTATATCTCTATAGCATCTATATAAGCAATTCTATATTATCTTTTTGTGGTTTCTTCTTCTAGTTGCCTTTAAAATGTATGATTTGGACAATGACGACTTAATATCGAAAGATGAACTTTTGGCTATTTTACATATGATGGTTGGAGCAAATATTAGGTACAATATCATTTTAATCCCTTAACATTATTGATTAATTATTGTTAAATAATTGGTATATTTTTATTGTAGCGAGGAACAATTAACTAGTATTGCAGAAAGAACTATAGTAGAAGCTGATGAAAATGGTGATGGAATGATATCATTTAAAGAGTTCTCTAAAGCACTAGAACGAACAGATGTGGAACAAAAAATGTCTATAAGATTTCTTAGCTAATTTATTTTGTTGTTTCTTATAATAATGCACAATTTGGTGATGAGTTGAAAGGATGTATTAAAATTTATAGATTAATAACAATGAAAACAAATGCTGATTCTTTCCTTGTGTATAGAACCTTATATACTTTACATAGAAGTATAGTTAAAGAATGTCTAATAATCATTGATGTATTTCGACTTTAAATTCCTATGAAAACGGGTATAATTTTAATTAATAAAAAAATTATATGCTTGTGTATGGTTGTTATAATTTACGGTATATAAATTCGGTAATTGCTACAGGTTTTGACAACCTATGGTTGACAATGTCTAATACACAGTTTGTTTACATGCCTTATTACATTATTCATAGTATATCGTTGGAAAATAAGTTAGTCTATCGATTAGACATATTTAAAAACCGACGATATGGGATATTTAAAATATGCATTACATTAATACTATGTACTTTATTTGTACACAAGTCGTACCTCGACTTTTGGAAAAAATAGTCATTGAGGAATTATTTTTTTCTTTTAAATGAAATCATATATCTCCATTATAATCGCGTAATTACTCTTCTGTATGTATAAATTCTTACCGCGCCTAAAGAATCCTTATCGATAGATTGTAACTGAGTACCTCATCGCAAAGCCTAAGATGTTTCTAAATTTTATTTAAAAAAAAATGACCACGCAACATTTACCTTCCTTATTTGTATCTTAAGCTGTAGACGAAACGGCCAACTTTTTCAAATGTTCCATGAATACTTGTAAACTAACGTCGTCAGTTAACACAGGTGCTCCGCTCTCCTAAATTAACACAAATATCATATTACAATCAGCAATCTACAAAGATTGAAATCAAAAAGAAAAGCTGACAAATCTATTCCCAGACCACAAATTACAATAATATACATATTAAACGAAAAATGTTTTGGAACCAACCACCAGTGAATCCTAACTATATGTACAAAAATGTTAAATAGTGTAGTTAATTTTATGCGTGTTTGATAATGACAGGTCATGTTAACAGATAGATCAAGGTGTTCAAGTAGTAACATTGTTGTAAAATACTAGATAAAATATTGCTGTACAGAATAGCTGTGAAATATTATGGACTTATATATGTTAGGAGCAGTTAGCTGTTAAAGAATATTGTGACAATAAATATTTTATTATGACGCTGCAATGAAAAACAAATATATTTAGAAACGTTGCCCCGGGTTGCTCCATTACCAAAGCAATTGAAAGCGAATATGAAAAAAGAAGTTAAAAAAAAGTAATTATCAAATGAATGAATAACACACCCCATTGGGTATCGGCATCCCCTGGTAACAGGATCACGGTCACATAAAAAGACATTAGTTACTATGATTGACACTTGACGATTGTGGTATATAATTAATATCGAATATTAAATAAAACGGTGTGATAGATGAGGCATATGTAATGTCATATGTGACTGAGGCAATCTATAATCAAGGGAAACTACTTACCGCTCCATAGGCGTACATATTATTGTGAGTTTGACTGGGATTCACTTTGCTTAATAAGAACCTCGCCTGTGAACCGCCCTGTTCAGTATCGATATACCTAGGTGCCGGGAATCTTCCGGCTAATATCTCTGCGGCATCATCAACAGGTGCCGCTAATAATTGCCGGAAGTTTTCATATTCTGGTAAGTCCTGGTACTTCAGTTGACGCCACTGTGCAATCGTCTGTAACAAACAGATCGTTGCAATCAAGTTTCTCATTGCATTTTATTGCACGGCAACTAATACTGAATTACCTCGCCGTGGAATATAAGTATTTGGAAGAAAGTATCCATCAACAAGATCCTATCCGGTTGTATAGACGAAGTGTCTAATAAAACTGGCTCTGGAGGGCCACTGAATCCATAGCTATACAAAATTGGTTGCACCATTATCAAAGAATTGGTTAAGTCCTCTCTAACGAGCATGTGTCTGTAACATTTCAATTCAAAGTAAGATCGATCGGCTTTCCTGACACATTGAGAGTCAGCTGATGTCATCTACGTAACACTCAGTTTACCTGTAAAAACTGGTTTCATCGGGGGAATTGTTGAACACTTGTATGAACTGTGATCTACGAAGATGATACATGAACTGAGGATACAATGAAAAGTTTTCTGCGAGTCTGAAGCTGTTCGGATCATCCTTCGCGTATTCTCCGAATTTCTGACACTATAAAGGCAACACTTGAATTTACAATTCATGCTGTTCTCAAGATATTAATGAATTAAATAGAGACTACTAACTAATCTAATGAGCATACGGTCGACCCATCTTAAGACATCCTGCCCGTCGTCGCTTTCTGCTCTAAAGACTGCTAAACGCGACATGAGGACAGCAGCCGCTTCCTGATCAAATCCAGCACTTATATGATGCAAGGATGTCGATGCATCTGCCCAACTATAATTAGACACATCTTAAAATCGAATCCACTATTTGTTTAATTGTTATAACTCACTTTCTAGCGATTGTGGTCACTCTGATTCTTCGTTGACCGCTACTGTGTTGATACTGCGTGATAAACTGTATGCAGCCCCTCCCCCCATGTGGAATCGGTGCAGTGTGTTGATTAACAACTTCAAAGAATAATGCTGTAGTTGTGGATGGTGTGAGGGAACAGAATTTCCATTGACATGTGCCACCTAATCCTACTTCTTGCTCTCCTACGCTCGCCCCCTTCACACCTAAAGAAACGCAAGGTCCGATCGCTCCAGACACTTTGATTTCTCGGGTAGTCTTAACTTCTAACGTCGCGTTAAATGCCATCTTCAAGTCTCCTTGACTGTCTTTCGCAAATACGCGCTGGAACGTTTGTTTGAACAATGAGGAATTGAAAGAGTCTCCCATCACCATGTGACCGCCGGTCGAATTGCAACACTGCCTCATTTCGAGCAGTCCAGTTTGATCAAGAGCACAGGAGTAGATATCTATAATATGCCCGTTCGTTGCAGCTCGTGATGCAAGGGAATCGTAATGTTTCGTTGCCTTCTTCATGTGCTTCGCATTATCCTTGTGAATATCGTGGTGTGATCTAATGGGTTGTTTCAAATCGTCCGTTACAACTTGACCAGATCCTTGGGAACAAGGTCCACCAACGAACAGCATTATTCTGTAAGAAGTATCGCATATTATTTGATTCCGGAAGCATTTAAAGATCACATTTACGCGTATGACACACACCTAGCTCCCGTATTAGCGTAACTAGCTTCTAAAAGACCAGTGGCAACAGCCAAAGCAACACCAGTTGATCTTAATGGGCGTCTTCCCGGGCCCACAGGCCATGGATCACGTTGTAATTCTCCTAAGAGATCTGTTAAACTCATGTCACACTTATGTACAGGCTGTAAGAAACGATTCGCCGGTGGAAGTGGCTGTCCCCCTGGTCCTCTTTGCTGATTTGGATTCTGTCCTGGTATTGGTCGACCTATGCCTACAACACACAGGAATGAATATGTGCTCTATGATCTTAACTAGCCAGAACGTACCTAGCATGTCTTGAACTTGCTTTGGCTGCAAGTCTTTAGTACCACGAAAAACATAACTTTTACTACATCCTTCACAACCCAGTTCATGGACCTGAACCATTCTTCCAAATGTAATGAGACCAATCAGAGCATTAGGTGGAAGTAACGAGAGTGACATCTGAAGGGAATCTTTCAGAGAACTCAATTCTTCATCATCCATACATGTATCCACAACTAATAAGAAAATAGGTGGCAAACATTGTGCTCTCTGAATAAAAATAATAAACGAATATATTACTAAGCAATCTGCCAATATTAACTCTGTTATTTTAAATCAGTGCTACTGTAGACAAATGAACTCTTATTACCATTATGGTATATTCAATTGTTGAAAATGTTGAAATGAGTTCAGCAGGTTGGTGTTGCTCTGAAATGGCAGCATATTGTGGAGGGAACTGAAAATATTAAACAAACAAAAAGCAGATGTTTATTAATCATTCTTATTTAACTCTGCTATCAAAAGATTTATATACTTACAGGATTCCTCTGAAAGCACAGATTGCACACCCATAATTTAGCCCTGTAATCCACTTGGCACAGTGGATTCAAGATTGCTCTGCAAGTAGACCTTGTACAAAGAACAGGATCATACTGTATAGGTGGAAGGTCTGGTCTTTCTTTAATAGGCTGGTACAATGTTCCCAAGGGTACAACTAATCTAGTAGCATCAATACGAGAGGAGGGCCAAACATTCCAGGTGAAACGCACACCATCACGGTCTTCATTTTGCTGAATGAAATCCTCATATGTGGTCATGTTGCTACAATCACCAAAAACCATACAGCATCAGATTCGTAGGGTACTTGGTGTACATTGTACATAATGTTTTTAAATATGTGACAAGTGTTAAGATGTGATAGGGGGTTATAGGTTAGCACCTACCTGGGCGTTTCGACGATTATCGTGAATCCTTGATTACGTTATCGAAACGATGAGGAGTAACTCGTGCGATCAGGTTCTCATAATTGTAACATTGTTTTATAAATGAATCAAAACGATACGGACTCACGTTAACAGCACAACTCGTGCCGTCATTGAGGCCACGTCACTTGGAGGCTTGGAAGAAAAAGCGTGGCGCCTGCGTCGAGCGCCTCTTAATGACACAAACGATATTTGAATGAATATGCACAAGTAGAACAAAATGAAATTCTTGATACTTCCGTGTACCGTTCTAAAGTAATATAACAACAGTCTGTACTATTCTTTCACTTTCTCCTTGATATTGAAATAGCGAATTGAACATATATGGACAGAATTTTTTGAGTACGACTGATCTGTCGTGATTGGGACTTATTTGTTCCAAATAATATTATGTAACAATCAGTACAAATTTACTCGAACGAAACAGTATAATAAATTTGTCCTGAGAAAATTCAGAGCATTATAGCAACAGGAGTGATTATTCAATCACGTATCATGGGCGCGTTATCAAGCGCTATATACTTGTAAAAAAGATTCGAAGAATACTTTGTTAATAAAAAACTTTCAATGACAATAGTTTCGATATATACATTGAATAACAGGAGTTTACAATGAATGTTTGGACCTGTATATACAGTTATGTATTACAAGTATACGGTTTCATGGAGTAATTTATAGATACTATAATCAAACAGGAATTTAGTTATTGGATTATTAAAGATTCCATCAGATTCCAAATAAAAGAAAACCTTAATTTTTAATACTGAACTTTGAACAATCGTGTATGCTAAAAGTGCATAAAATTTGCAGTCTAGGCATGAATTTTCAGAAGAGGAATCTGTAAAGTGTCATTGAACAAATATAATCATGCTTAACGTTCAAGGAATGGTAGGGACTCATTCGGCCAATCAGCCGCAAAGTGATAACGACCGATTCTGAATAGAGTCAGACTAAGTGTTTACCGTTTGGATCTACTATTACTGCAACTCGTGCCCTAGCGTAAGTTGTTAGCGTGAGATTGTGCGAAACTGCAAGACAATTATTCTGGCCTGAACACTCTCGTAGCTCGGTACTTCGTAGAGTCTCCATGTCACGGACAGTTCGGGGGTTCATCCGCGACTAACCTCTGACACGGAGTAGACAGTTTTTAAAAATGGACAAAAGGTAAGATCACAAATATCTTTCATATATAACGAGAAATAAAAATAGTCAGGCAGCAAGAATGTGAAAAAAAAAAGGTTCTAGTGTACGTAATAGCGATTCATATATAAATTTAAATAGTAACAAATAGTAAATTTTTCTCAGAATAAAAGGTTTGTGTCAGTGACGTCTATACTAAGATTCAGAGTTTAGGCTCATTCCTCTACTCTTTTTCCATTGACACGATAGAAACCTTTTAACATTGGACCACTTCTATATTCAAAGAATTTGTTTTTTTGGTAGGTTGGATGCATCAAGATCAAGTTATAACGAGGATGTCTCCACTCATTCTAAGAAGACCAAGAAAAGGTCTAGCAAAAGGAGCAGTATACTTGGTCCTTGGATGAACAGTGTTCAGAGCAATCAAAACAGTGATGTATTACCTAACATGGAGTATCAGCATGTTCTGTGGCAGTCGAATATGCAACAGAATTTTCAAAGTAATGGACAACGTCTCTTCGCAACAACTTCCGATCCAAGCATGTGCGGCTATGCTCAAATGCCAATGACATACACAATGGAACCTGTTTCGTTACCAGCCATGTATAGATTGTATCAGCCGGTACCAGTCTCTGGTATGAGGACCGTTCACAACAGACCTAGGAGGCATTGCAATCAGAATCATCCAATGAATTTGGGCATGAATACTATGGGGAATGGTTATACAAGTCTGCAGGAGAATGGAATGGAATCTCCTGTGCCTGTTAACTATCAGAATGGAGATTATGCAAGTCTACCACCTACTGCTAATAAGAATAATGGTATTACTGGTGATGAACTGAATTCAGAGCATCGGAGGTATTCTGATCCTGGTCTTGGGTCTGCCGAAGCTCCTGTTCACGCTCAAAGCGAAGATTCGGACAGTGTTGATAGTGGAAGCTCCATTACAACGATTGGACGTAGCAATAAACTTGTTCTGTCTCTCATTGAGCAGGTTTGTATTTCATTTATAATAAATTTTCCGAGATGTGTATGCGAAATATCGTTGAAGAGTTCTACACAGTATGTTATATTGGTTTCAGATGACAGAACTAAAGAAAAGCAATAGTCAACTGTTTAAAGAATTGAATGAAACAAAGTCCGAGTTAGGTAGCATGAAGGCAAAGTTCGCGCAGTGTAAATACAATGCCTCTTCAGATTATCAACCAGGAATGTTATCAGGTAAATATTTATAAATCCTCTACGTTCGGATTAGTAACGAGAATCATCGATAAACGATTACGAATTCCTTAATTATTTCAGATCTTATCAGAGAAATCCGGCAAGCCAACAAAACATGCGAAGAGGGTTTGGTCATCAAGGTGAAGTCCATAATGGAGGAGAAATTGAATCAAAGGTCGTTGGAAGTAACTAACTTAGGCGTATGTATTATTTTCTATTTACATGAACAATATAATATACGTTTAAGTAACAAAACAGAGAGAATACACTGTTTTTTATCATAGGGACGATTCACCCTAATTCAGCTAACAAATTTAAAGCATAGAGTATTCAGTAGCAGTTAACTGAAAAATCTTATAAGCAAGTTAAGAAAGACCGATCCCCTATTGCAATTTCATTATCGCGGTAATGATTCACCCTCGAAAGTAATAAATTCCAACCATTCAGGGTCTTTAGATCCTTGTTTGTCATAGAAACCCAATATAAGGCCAATGACTCACACTGTTTTGGTGTTCACTGTATGTACAGTCATCCCAGTCTCACAACTAAAATCACACAAACAACATTCGCATGTTATATCGTGTCATATTGTTTAATATTTACATAAATTTCGTTAATTGCGGATGTAGCGTGTCGATACAGGCAGAAGGAAGTTACAAAGACGAATAGAGAGCTTGGACTGGAAAGGTAGATAACGTGGGAACGGAAAACAAAGCGGGTAGAGAGCTAGGAATCCCCTCTCTCTTTCTTTCTCTCCCGCCTGGACTTTGCAGTTAGGGTACAGTGAGATGTGCCGCCTTGGCCGACGCTTTCGGCATTTCCACGACGCGCTCATGGACCATATTGTTTGCGTAGCATTCGTACGCTCTGTTTGATTAGGACCGCCAGGTGATCTTCGGCTCTTTCCCCCCCGTTACCTTCTCTTTTTTTTACTTTTTTTCTACAATTTCTCTCCCTCGATTATCGTCTGCACGCGAATTTTCATCGATCCGTTCCGTCCTGGAGTCTGTTGAACGTTGATACCCTAACACATTATTACCTGTCCAAAGTCCTTATTCAATACCGTATTCACCGAATCATGGCCATCGTGAAAGACATTACAGACCTGTCTGTATTTGCTAGATGGGGATAACTAGTTCTTCCTTGTGATCAAGGAACGATCTTACGAAATCACTTTAATTCTCACTATTCAGAGGGAAGTAAATGTTTCTAGTCACTAGGATTGTCGTTTAGGAAATATTCGCCCTGATTAGAAAAGGGACTTTCACAGCCAATTTGGTCCGTGTATGTTCAGCTCCTCGGTGATCGCACATAACATATGTACGTATCTACTTTTTCAAGGAGCCAGAGAACACATGAAAAGATTTCAAAATTTTCACCGTACATACACAGTTAACCAAGTGAGCCAATTTTCACGGGTTGGGGTGTACGATCGACCCGACGGAATTGACTTCATCCCGTAATTGGGGGAGAGGCAGGCTCCTCCCATATCGGAGTCGAGGTCCGATAAAACCGGTTGATACCTGAGAACCTAATGTAGACGTAATACGAAATATCCGTGACGCGGGGACAAAAATGATTAGGTTTCACATAAGGGTGGTGTACCCACCGGACGAGGAGGGGGGGACAAAAGTGTTCCCCGGGTGAAACGGTGTTCCGAGGAGGGAGGGACGAGGGGGTGAGGCACTTAGCGGCTGTCAGGGCCTCTCCCTTGGCCTCTTTCCTTTCCCTCTTTCCTTTCCCTTTTTCCACGGTCTTCTCGGGTTTCAACCATCCATTAGCCTCATCAGCCGAAGCGATGGCCGTCCGCGCGCGCCATGGTCGTCTGCCTGCCTGCCTCCGTCGCGTTGCCAATCTCGTAATTGAACCATCGGGACATCATCCACTCTCGTGCATGTTAAATTTCCCTACTCGTCGCGACGACCACGACAACGACGCCCGATTGGAAGCCACTCGAGGCGTCGCGATGCACGCGAGGATTCGTGTCCTCGCGCGACCACGATCTGTTGAATATTTCTTGTTTTCAAGGGGTGAATCGTGGGGCGTAGGTAAATGGTAAATTATCTTCTATGGACATTCGGATCTTAATTCCATGTTGTACATTGATAGCTTGGTGATTTCGATCATTCTGTTTTTTTTTTCCCTTTGTTTTAACAGAGGGATGAAGTCAGGAGTACTCAGGAGTGTGGGTTTTCAACCCTCTGACTACTATTGTCTGTTTCTTTTAATCGTGAGATATATATTATAGAAGATAGTTTCGATATTTTACAATCGTTTGAACGATGTAGAAAGGGGATGGTTTGTCGATTAACAGTTGTAGCTGAGAGGGTGAATCACCCTTTCGCGACTGAATGATTATTGCGATGTATACACAGCGAGCGGAGAGTTAACGAAGACGCGATGTTGTAAAATCGTTATCTGGTGAAAAATTGCGGGTTACTATGTAAATTGTTTGATTTCTTTCGAAACAAGGCGCATCTTATCTGCGAGACGTGTATTATTGTCTCCGTTATCTGTTATCTTTATCCTGGTTTTTCCACCGGCGATGGTAAACGGAGCTCGCCGAGCGGAATCTTCGATATTTCTCGTTAATTATTTTTTCGTGTTGGTCATCGCATTAACGAATGGAAGAAAATGTTGAAAATTGTGTTCCAACATTTCTAACCTTCTGTTTGGAATTTTCGGAAAAATTGAACGAAAATTCAGTTCGTTCGTACGATATATTCATACCATTAATTATACTCGTTTCAGAATCAAATTCTGAAATTAATGGAGGAGAAGGAGGAGAGCGAGAGGCGCATCGAAAAATTAGAAGAGGAGGTCGCCACACTGAAACTGAACGCAAAGTGAGTAGACAGGTTTATGGATTTGGTTTCTGGTTCGTAGGAAGTTTGTACAATGAACTTAGGCACTCGGGGTATCTCGTTGAAATTTAGTATACACGTGTTTGAGGGTGATTTCGTGACGCACTGATATTCTTGCACCGGGCACAGTAGAGGTCACAAATTGTAGTTTGATTATCGCCGGTGGTCACAGGTGGGAGAAGTGTGATACGTTTTGTCCGATGAACTTTCGTACCGATTCGTTACCTGTAGCAGCCGATGAACGTTTTATCGTTGGATAACGTGTCCGATGTTGTAACGTAAACAATTTTTACTCGATGAATATATGCCCGAGGTACAGGGATTACATATATATTTAAACATGACAATACACAGCCGAAATTTCCATTCTTGACATAGTTTTCATTTTAAATCGACGAATTGTATAAATATGTTAATACCGTTAATTGCGTTGTAGTGCCTTCTTTATCATTTCTCTACTTTCTTCCCACTGGTTCTCCTACCACGGTACTCCACACTCTGTAGATCTCACCGTTCATTAACAAACGCGAGATAATTTTTTTTTTTTACCTCATTGTACATTCCCTATCTGGTCTAATATTTTCAAAATCAGCTTCTTCGCACCCCGTACACTACACACAGTATACACTGTCTAACATACAATTTCATGAAATACAAACGAATCATCCTTCATCTTACGAAGAAGACGTATACAACCTCGATTCGCTTCTATCTTTCTGCATCCGGAAAAATCAAACTCCAGAAACTACATCTTCAAAAACTTCCAACTATTCGCCCGTTTCCCTGCCAGATCGTCCCGCAATTTAACAGATTAATCCACAAAAGACGCCTCAGAACCGCTTTCCACCATTCATCTCATCACGCCTACAAAACGATTACCCGCTGTACAAGTTACAAGTTGCCTTCGTAGTCACTCTAATACGGCAGTATCGGTCGCGAATCTAACTCGAAAATCGACGCATCTCTGGCTTGTACAAGCCCCCCTCCCTCCAAAATCCACCTCTAAATCACACGATCCTCTCTATCTCCCTCTCTCTCTCATACACACACACAGGTCTGGATTAAGATATTTGGGGCCTGGGGTTATCAAATCTTCTATGGCCCCCTTGGTTGAATCGAGAAAAAAAGAAAAAAACATACAATAAAATACATAAATCATAACAAATTGATATATATATATTCTAAATAAAATTAAATAACATTTAATCAAAACGAAATCAAGGGCCTAGAAGGGCCCCCCATAAAAAGTGGGGCCTGGGGCTATATGACCCCCCTAGCCCCTCCCTTGATCCGGCGCTGTACACATACACACAAATACGCACGCAAACACAAAATACACACGTCGCGCCGGAAACGTTCCCTCCCTGCCACCCAACCGCACCCTCCCTAAACGTGTCTCTGGCGAGGTGTACAATTTGTATAAACTTGGTGGACTTGTGTTGGCACTTAGCAACGAAGGCCGCGAGATCGCAGCCTTCGAGGAAGAGACGCTGGCGCTGCGACGAGAGCTGCAGGAGGCGCGGGCGTCGAAGACACTGGCCGAGACACGCGCGGCTAAGTCCGTAAACGCAAGATCGGTTACGCCTGTGTCCTTCGATAAACCGTACGTGACCAGCACGCCCGTTCGTACAGCTCTCTCAGACACCTGTAGCTTGATCCCACCACCACCACCACCGTCGTCGTCGTCGTCGTCGTCATCGTCATCGTCATCGTCATCGGTAGCCTCATCCTCAGTCCCAACATTCGGCCCGTATCTTCTGGCGCAACGTTTCGTCACCGAGAAGTCGAGCAGTCATCGTGCGACAACAGGCGATTCTAACAACGAGTGGACAGTGGACGATGACCAGATCGCGGTGTCCAGTAGTCAGTTGTCAGTTGTAGCTACCAGTGACGCGGATGGTAACTTGGAGGAGGCATCCAGTTGTTCTACATCCATAGGGGGGACTCCGTTGGAGGATATAAAAGAGGTCACGGGACAGGAGGATGATTATACCGAGGCTGGACACATGGACGAGATCGTTGAACGTATCGCACGGATAGAAGAGATCGCGGCTGATATTGCTAAAGAGGTGGACTATAAAGTGGACTCCACGGAGAGTAACCTAGAGGCTAACGATCGGACTCTGTCCAGTGCGTTAGAGAAGATGGTTATAGTCTCGAGGAGCGAAACGAACAATCCCAGTTCCAAGGACGATGGCTTTCATCGGGGTCAGAGGGGTAGCTCGAAGAGGTCCAAGAAGAAGAAGACAGTTGCGAAGAGGTCTTTCAGCGAGACGGAGAAAACGACGAACGAGGCCGCGTGTTACACGACGAACGATCGGAGAACGGTGAGCGTGGACGTGGATCATCGTTTGGATGACGAGGAGGCCGCGAGCCGAGCCATCACCGAGATCCCGGAAGTGACCGTGATCGGTGGTGGCTCCTTCGGGCCGAAAGATCTCTGCTCGACGGGAATCCTGACCTCCAGAGTCCTGACAGCACCTTCACGCGCTACCTACACCACCGCCTACATTTAGGCCACGTACCCGCGTGGCCCCACCCCCCATCCACCTCCACTCCCGTGGCGGATACCGCGAGCCACGTGTGTCGGCAATATGGGGGCTTCAGAAAAAAAAAAAAAAAACTGGGCTTGCTAGAGGCTACTACCGTGTACATGTCGAATAAGCACGTAGGTCTATCGTTCTTGGTTTCATCCCCGTTGTTGTACGCTTCCGTGAACTGTCCCCTCCCCGCCTCCCGGCACGCTTGGTCCTACTGGCTTGGTTTACACTGACGCTTCCATGGAATCCTGTACAACATTCATCTTTATGTATATATTATATGTATACGTAGAGGGTGTTCCACGTAATAGAGCCACGAAATTTCAGAAATTTCCTCGAACATTACAAGAAATTTTATTGGAGTTGAACTGTAATTTAAGGGTGCACAACTTTCGTACATCAGAGTTTGTTTATCTAGATTCTTTTCGGGGATACGAATGTTACATTTTGATTGGTAAATGGCACAACGGGATTTTTTAAATATTTTTCATTCGTACGAATGGTAAGAAATTCAACGACTATAAATATGTTACACACATGATGTATCAAAAGTTAACAAAAGGGCATTGCTCTGATATACCAAGATGTTGTACAACTTTTCTTGACTTTCTTGTTTTTCAACATATTTATAGTCGTTGGATTTGTCACGATTCGTCTTAATGAAAAATGTTTAAAATATGCTACAGTTTCTTTTAAAAAAGCAAAAGGTAACATTCATTTCAACGATAAAAACTGCAGATAAAGAAACTTTGTCTAACGAAGGTTATGCATACTTAAATATAGTTCAACTTTTGTTTAATATAATTTTTCGTAAAGTTCAAGGAAAGTCTTGAAATTCTGTGATGACACTTACGTGGGACACCCTGTATACGTGTACACATAAATTAATTGGAATATTTATTAATTCGAACGAAAAGTCTCAATCCACGTTTCCTGGTTGATTCTGATTCACGGGAAAGTTTCTCTTGCACGGGGACGTCTTGGAGAATGTTTTACAGGAAGTTTTGTTTTACCGCGTTTGTTCGTTAATTAATTGGAAAAGGTAACACACCTTGGCTGTTGCAATTGTATACATATGAACACAGGTGAGGAACGAAAGTGGGAGATATTCCTTAGATTCCATTCGAGCCTCAGTGTCGACCAAACCTTGGACCATATCTATAGAAATCATTCTTCTCTACTAAGACGCTTCTGTTCGTGTAAAGAAATAGAAGAAGAGCATCTATTTTAACGGCAACCTCCGGTCCAACGAACTTTTTTTTTTTTGTAAAGTCGTTCGGTCTGACTTGGTTCTACATACGATCAAACTCTTCTTCTACTTGCACCCTTTAGTTGTATATTTTTACTGTCTCCGAGCGGAAGGTGAGAAGCTGCAAATCGGAGAAGACAATGAATTTCGTAAAATGAAATTGAAAATATTTACGAACGAATGGTTGCCATTAATTTTGTCGAGTAATCGATGACTTTTAATAATATTGTTTAAGTATTTATAGCTTCTTGCGTACCGATCCCGATGTTGTGATTATATATACATACATAAGTATATATATATATATATATATATATTTTTAGTGCGATTCGTGTGTGTATATTTTCTGTAATGTAAATCACGTTCCCGTGTATTGTTTGGCATGGCTTCGCGGCTTGTCCAGCATGCGTATTATGGCTCCCGTGTCTTCCTTTGTATCGAAGCTACACGCTCGTCTGTCGCGTAACCGTGCACTGTTTTTATTTTCTTCGTTTTTAGTCTCGTGCCGTTGGTGGTTGAATCAACCCCTCCTTGATACCGATTTGCAACGAAACAAACGTCCCTTTAATCGTGTTCTATCGAAGAGGAATAATCTTTTTTTTTTTATCCATTCTCTGTAGGATAAGATTGTTAAACTGACTGATCACATTATAAAAAAAAACGTACAGTATTCAAAACGCTTCTCTATTGCTCGTTAGTTGTAAGAAGAAAAACGATTAAGACGACTGATAATTTTTTTTTTTTGTTTCTTTAATCGATCGCGAGGACGGCCAGTTCAAGGGTTCTGTAGATTGTTCGCGTGTAGTTTTAAACCGTGGACGATCGTAGCTTTGGAAACCGTTGTCAATTCGAATTCGTATCCTGTTGAGGAACGTGTGTATGTATATTTTTTCTTGTAGATCGTCGAGGATGAATGCGTTGACGACAGAGAACCGTCGGTTGTCGTTGCATTTTATTGTCACGAACGTGAACAAAATCGTCGTGTACATCAAGCAAATTGTCAGCGTATAAATTTGATTATCCTAGAGCCAGGCTGTAAGACGATGGCTTCGTTTGCCGATATTGTACGAGGAACAGACTTTGTTTCTATTATGTTTCAGTACCCTATCCTCCCCCCCACACCCCTCCCTAACGACGAGAGTTTGTACGCAGCAATTTAATAAACTGTCAGATGTTATATTAATTTTATGCTTTTGTAAACGTCGCGCGATGTGCTTGCCCGCGGTACGGTTCGAATTATCGAGATCAGTCTACTACGATTTTCATAATTTTCTTTAATAATTTCCCCTGATAAACTTCGAAGGTACTTAACACACTGAAAATTAGCGTTACGTTGTGCAAAATATCGCGTGTACAATTTAACTAGAAGCTTCTGGGCTGTAATATTACATCGTCGACTGAAAAGCAACAATCTAGACGGGTGAAAAAGCTTTCACTGTATTAATTTGTTAATATATACCTGAAATGTTTAGTCTTTCTTTCGTAAATTCTAGCAGAATGATCTAGATTGGTTAGAAAGCAGAAGGAGTGGACCGACGATTAATCCGTACCGTACTGTGCTTCTTTTGTACATTTACATTACCCTTGTACGCTCTCTTGTACGAAAGGGGACAAACGAGGAGTTGATCGCGCTGCATCTCGCGGTCGTAACCGTGTCAGGGTCATCCCACAAGTAATACGAATCTTTGACATTTTCGGAAAGGAATCTGGAAGTTATAGAAGGTGATGAAATGTTATAGAAAATAAGAAAACAAAAGATATATATACAGGTAGGAGATTAATAGTTTTAATTACAGTTTTGGACTTCACCTTCTGCAAACATCAAAGAAACTTTTCGGTATTACTTATGGGATGACTTGATAGAAACGGAACGAGTAGAAATCGGAGAGAAAAACTACGATTCCTGGCGAGATTTATCGTGTCTGAATGAACCCCGTGCACACAACCCCATTCAACCCTCTTTCCAACCCTTTCCCCCCCTTAAGCACAAGGTCCCCGCTATTGGGTCAGGGAAAAACCGAAACCGCCTGGGTTGTTGTGTCCTTTCTCTGTTTCTTCTAGCCCGGCAGCATGGCTTTCAGCTGAGAAAAAAAATTGTTGCTTTTCGCCGCTTCTAAAAAACACCGCAATTACAGAGATTCCTGTTTTGGGGCCGACTAGCGGTCTGGGTGGTAACACGGCCCAATGGCCGACGCCACCCGTGTGACACGAAATTGTAACGTGAAAACGAACCGTGATTTGTCAGACGGGGAACACAGCTGGACAGTCAGACGCGTAATATGACGATCAAGGACTGGGAAACGATCGAGTCGTGTCCTCCGACGACGAGGAGGAGGACGACGATGAACGTGACGGCTTTGGGAACGCGGACGAAGAAGAGGACATAGACGGGGACGTGGACCAGGGGACGAGCTTCGGGGAGAGGATCGATCGATCGACGATGGAGAACGGTATCAAGCTGTCTGGACCAGTTACCGATCTGTAGGAGGATCGTTTCTGATGCGTGAGTTCGAGGAGGTATGGTTTAGAGGAAAGGATCTTGAGCGATTTTTATGGCAATTGGAGAGTGTTTTTTTAATCGACTAGAGTTCTTTTTTAACCCTGATGACGTTTATTAGATGGTTCGATGGGTTTTTGAGGATTGAAAACGATTTAGATCTGTTTGATTGGGGGATGAGTTTAGGAGTAGGTTTGGATGGTGATGGCGATACATTTGAATTGTATCGATACGTATAGATGCCCAGAGTATCGGTACAGATGTACTTATATTCGGGAATAAAATATCGATATTATCAGTATCGATACTTGCAATTAAATTCCAAGTAATAAAATCGTAAAATGATAATAATTATCAAAATCGTTGCATTAAATATCGACACTGTATCGCGTATCACTATTTTTAAGTACTGGGGAAGACTTTTGATTGTAATGGAGTATTGAGCTTCCTATATCAGTTTCTTAGTTTTCAAATTCAGACTGTATTGGTTCCTGATGAATTGACATCTGTCTTCTATGAGGGAATTAGCTTGGTTGAGTTGTCGTTGGTCGGGGAATTGTGCCGGACACGTGTTAGATCCTTCGAAATCGAGCTTTTTATTCGACCGGTTTTCTAAATGAATTCGGTTTAGATTTTGCTTGATTTGGAATGTTCCTGTCGTCTTTTGTCAGAGAGTTGCTTTAAGTTAAGAGCTTTAATAAAATTGATTCGGCTTAGGGTAAACGTGCACCATTGCAGTTGCGATGGCGAAGATGTCAAGCAATGTGGGGATTGCCAAGAATTGGAGGCATCTTCGAGAGATCAGTCTCGTTTAATCATGTTCGATAACAATCTCTTTGCAAGAATTTAACGGCGTTAAGTATTATTCACGAATATACTCATATTACTTCTATTTTCGTTATTATACACTAGTATAATGTAATTCTTCGAGCTTTACGAGCAATATGCAAGACTTTTTATAAGGGTAGTTCGAATCATCGTTTTGATTTTTAATGTTTTTGAATGTATGATCGTATGATAGGTGGTAAAATCCAGCATCGTACAAATTTTTCGAGCAATAGCTCACGGTTTGTTTTTCTAGACAGTAGAGACGGTGATTTAACAGCGATTCTACTTTGAAACATTTCTTGTAACAAAAGGATTCCAAGAGAGTACAATTCGTTCATTAGACTCGCGAACATCCACCTCGAAAAGTATTGTTACCGTACTTTGCGTAGGTTCACCGTGATCCTCGGGGAATCTGTAGTTTTTTAAATAGCGAAAGATATATTTTTTTATGAACAAACTAGATTAAACAGCTGACAGTGTACATAGGGGACACGTTTCATAATTCTTTTGCTGCGACATAAATCGTTTACTTTGAAAAAAAATACAAGACCACGAGTTTTAAAATTGATACGGGGATTTGATTTTTCTTAACATTTTTTTTATATGCAATGGAAGATACTTGTTCTTTTTCTTACGAAGAAACTAACAAATTTGTTTTCTCGCAGCGGAAGGATTATTTAAATAGCACCTAAACAGTAGACATGCGATTTTATTACACAGACTTCTTTCTATTTTATCTACTCCTCACCGATTAACGAATCGAATATTATATAATTAATATTTTAAGGTTTAACTATTATACATCTTTTAGAGTAGAAAAGCATCCTCCCGAATGTTCCACAAAATGTTCTTTCTATTTATCGATATCCTATTATAAGAAATTAGTAACGGTTTGTTTATCGTAAAGAGCGAAGCCGAACGAACAATTTTATTCATT